GGCAGCACTTGGGGAGCCGGCGTGGCTGCCTGACCCAGCAGTGGGAGCTGGCAGGAGCACAGATGCCCTCACCAGGGGAGGGGGAGGATGGCACCAGGAGGAGAGGCGGTGCCAAGGCCACTCCAGGGCAGGAAGTCAGAAGGAAGGAAACAGGAGGAGGTGGTGTGTCCGGGAAACTGAGGCTGGAGCAGAGGTGGCCTCAGGGCCCAGGACCCCAGCAGCTAAGGGAGGGGCCCTCGGTTCGATGAAGGGCACCGGCCTGCTGCCCGCCGGGGGTCACGGGAGCTGGCCTGGAATTCGCCTCGGGCCGATGCAGGCGATAGAGCGGCCAGACCAGAAGAATCTGAGGAACGTAGTCCTGTGCCCGCAGGGTTCCGGGCCACCAGGCAGGGCCAGGCTAGGGAGGGAGGCTCCCGCCGGCACCTGGGTCTCTGCCCCCAGCCCCTCCCCAGCAAGGCGGGGTGTCCTGTCCTTCCCCAGCATCACACCCCAGAGGCAAGCTAAGCCTGGCACCCACGGAGCTCCAGACGCACTCTCACTAGACCAGGTCCGACTGCTGCCCCTTCCCCCTGCCGTCCTGGCACTCGCTGCCTGAGCCGGCGGGGAGTCTAGGCGGTCATGCAGGACGCCCCCGCAGTCACCCGGGGACCAGGTGAAGCCACAGGCTCACACTTTTGTCCAAACGGCCTCAGGGAGACAGCCCTGCCGGCCAATTCCAGGCAAAGCCTCCAAAGCCGACACAGGTGCTGCTGGCCCGCCCTCCACACCAGCCTGCCCAGGCCGAGCAGCGATCGGTGCCCACAGCCCCTGGTTCACGGGGCCCTGCGGGGGCCAGGTCAGGGGCCCCCAGCCCCAGCTCCCCTGTCCCCCGAAGCAGCCCCTCCCAGGCCAGGGGTCCTCCAGGCCGGGCACCCGGCCCACCACGCACCTTCTTCCTGGAGGAGCCGGCCTTGGTGAGGCAGGACTTCTGCAGGGCCAGGTAGCCGCCGATGACCTCGATCTCGTGCGCCGTGGGGTAGCGCTTCTTCGGCGCGGTCCCCAGGCCGCGCTCCCCCTCCGCTTCCTCAGCCTCGGGGGGCCCCGGCTCCCCGCCGGCCTGCAGGGCCCCGGGCTTCCGCTTGGGCACCACCGTGAAGGTGCTGCCGCCCTGGTGCAGGCGCTCCGACGGGCGGTGCTGGGGAGGCACGCCGGCCCCCGGGCAGGGCAGTTTGGCTTCTTGGGGGGCCTCGTCGTCGGAGTCCACCTCGTCGATGAAGGTGACGGGGAGCCCCGGCCGCCCAGGCTCCCCGCCGTTCTTGGCCACGCCGGGACCCCCCGAGCCCTGGAAAGGCTCGGCTTCGGCGGCCGCCGGGAGGGAGGGGGGCGGCGAGGACGGCCGCTGCCACCGAGCCGCCTGGTCCACGAGGGCAGTGGCCGGCCGGGGGCAGGCCCCCTCCTGGGCCCTCCAGGGGCCCCTCTCTTGGGCGGGTGCGCCGGCAGCCCCGGCCGCCAGCTGGGCTCCGCGCTGCGGACGCTGGGAGGCCCCGGCAGCCGGTCCCGCTGGCAGCCTCGCAGGCTGCCTCCCTGGGGGCGGAGGGGCCCCGGCCGCCTTGCGCTTGGGGACGAACACGAAGGAGTTCCGGGAGTTCGCGCGGAGGCTGGCCAGGGCCCGGGCCTGCAGGTCCCCCGCGGGAATCGCGTCCATGTCTGGCTTGGAGGCCGGCCGGATCTCGAAGGAGTCGTTGGCGCTGGTGGCCGAGGAGACCCAGTGGCGCTGGCTGGGAGTGGCACTGGCGGGGCTGGGCCTGGGCAAGGCCGGGGGCGAGGCGGGACGTGGCACTGGGGGTCCGGGGGCTGGAGGGCGGGTGGGCGGGAGGCTCCCCCGACTCCACCTTTGGCTTGTGCCCGCCGGGCCCAGGGCCGGAGCCCGCGAAGCCGTTGGCAGCGCCGGCCGGGGGCTTCGGGGCGGCGGGCCCGTTGGGGAGCGGGCGAGCGCCCGGCCCGCGGTGCAGGCCCCGAGGGTGGACGGTGAACGAGTTGCTGCCGGTCTTCTGCACGAAGTCGCTGCGCCGGGCGCCGGGCCCCGGGCCGCGCCGCTCGGGCTCCGGGCAGGCGGAGCGCTCGGCCAGGCGCGGGGCGGCCGGGCCGAGGCCGGGCTGCTGGGGCGGCGGCGGCGGCGGGCGGCCGCGCTCCGGGCTCCCGCGGCGGCGCGGCGCGGCCGGCGGGTCGAACTTCTGGAGCAGCCGGCTGACGCGGCCGGGCGACGGCGGCGCCTCGTACACCAGCACCTCGGCGGCGCGGATGCGGGCGGCCAGGCCGGCGGCGGGGTCGCGGGCGGCGGGCGGGAAGCCGGGCAGCGACTCGATGATGAGGATGTTGTCGGCGCGGATGGTGCGCACGCCCGGCACCCGGCAGTACAGCTCCAGGAGCTGCTGCACCGGCCGCGCCCCCGCCGCGCCGGCGCCCGCGCCCGCGCCCCCGCCGCGCCGCGCGCCGCGCCGCCGCTCCGACTCGAGCCGCATGAACGGGTTCTCACTCAGCGGGCCCAGGCTGTCGGCCAGCACCAGCCGCTCGCCCGCCGGCTCCGCGGGTCCCGCCGCGTCCGCCGCGGGCCCCGGCGCCGAGCCCCCGCTCAGGGCCGCCAGCTTGGCCCGCTTCCGCTCCAGGATCTCCCGCTTCCAGGCGGGCATCCCGGCGCGGGGCCCCGGGCCCGGCCGCCCCAGGCCGGCCATGCTGCGGAGCGGCCGCCCGAGCCAGCGCGCGCTGGGAACTGCGGCCGCCGCCCGCCGGTAGCCCTCGCGCAGCGGCCACGCCCACTCCCGCGGCCGCCGCCCATTGGAGAAAGGCGTTCTGAGACCCGCCCCACGCCCGGCGTCTCCACCTATGACAGGAAAGGATGGCTAGCCGAGCGGATTGGAGAAGGCTCTCTCTGACCCCGCCTCCCCGAGGACCTCATTGGATAACCTCGGCCGCCGCCGCTGGCTGCCATTGGAGAAGGCCCCTTTGAACACGCCCCTGACACCTCGCGATGCTCATTGGCGGCCCTCACTTCCGCCTCTGCGCCCCGCCCTGGATGCCCTGGGGGTGGGGCCTGGCGGGGGCGGGGTCCCGGCGGGGCGGTAGTTGGACCCCGGCGCCCAGAGTCGCGGATGACCTTGGCCAGGCGGCCAGGTAACTTCCTCTGGTGCCAGGGCCCAACCCAGCCCGCCTACTCCCCCCTGGGAGCGCGGGGGAGGGAGGACCTGCCCAGGACCCGTAGGCTATCCCCGCTCCTGTGGGCGATGCTCGGGCTGCACACCAGTCCCTCCCAGGCCATGCCTGCCCACCTGCGACACTTAGCGGAGACGCTATGCCGGGACCCCACAGTGCTGAGGAATGGCCCCGAGGGTGGTCGGTGAACGAGTTGCTGCCTGGCTTTGCCGGCCCCAGAACCTGACTGTGTTGCTCAGACAGGTGGAGGCTCTGTGCCACACTTGGCCATCCAGGAGTATGGAAGCTGCGAGGAGGCACCAAAGCTGAGATTCCTCCCCGTACACAAGCAGGCCCACGCTCTCTAACGCCCCAAGAGCCACAAAAGCCAGGCCCTGGGTCCCACCCTGCTACCTCCCCAAGCTACTACTGAACTTCCCTCACCCGAGGCTGCTGGGTCCCACCGACCCTGAAGACACAGCCCCCGCCCTCGTGCCATGAGAAAGCAGATTCCCCTGTGGGCTGCCCAGTGCCCACCACATTCTTTTAGGTCCCCGGGACTCGGGAGAAGGGGGACCTGGGGAGCACTGACACAGATGCCGCCCGCAGTCAGCAGCAGTCGCTCAGGCACGACACTGCCCGCCACAGACTGGTCTCTCAGGGAGGGAGTTCCGAGGGAGCGGGAGCGGGGCAGGCTTCAGCCGAGGGCTCTTCTCCGCTTCTGATGCCGCGGCGGTAAGTCGCCTTCCAAAGGAAGTGAACCTTATTATTCTTGTCACTTCTACAGCAACCCAACTCCCTGATTCTGAACTAACAAAATAAAACAGGCAACCTAAAAATAACATCCATCCGAAACTCACTCCAGTCCTAGGTAGCTTGGCTCAGTGGAAAGAGCGTTGGTCTGGGGACGGAAGGGTCCCAGGTTCAATTCTGGTCAAGGGCATGTACTTAGGCAGCCAACTGGATCCCTTGCCTTGATGAGGGCATGTGCTAAGGCAACCAATCGATCTCTCTTTCTCTCCCTAAAAATCAATGGAAAAATACCTGCAGGTGGGGATTAACAAACAAGGAGACTCACTCCAAACGTTCAGCTTATATTTGGCTTTGGCACAAGTGACGCCATGCCTGGGTGGGAAACATGTCTGTAGCTGCGGTTCAGACCAGACCGAGCCAGTCTCCAGCTCAAGCATCTCCATGGCCATGCAGCACACGTACGCCCTCAGCCAAAGGTCACAAAGCTGCTGGGCTAGAACGAGGCCCACAGACCTGTTCCATGCAGGAAATATCCTAACCCACTGGTCCTCACCGGGGGCGGTGTTTCTCCCAGAGACCTGGCAATGCCTGCCACACTTTTGGGTGTCACCAATGAGACGCCACTGGCATCTATAGAGTCAAGGCTGGGGATGCTGCTCCACAGTCTCCACTGCTCAGGAGAGCCCTCCTGGAACAAAGAACGATCTTACCCAGAAGACCGCGTACATGGCAGGTACACTGGCTTTCTGTCATTCTTCTGTTTCCTCACCCCTTTCAAGATTAGGGCACAAAAAAACAGGCCTCAGGCCATAACCTGTGACCCCCGCTCTACGGTGTCAGCAGGGTCCACAAAGACCACACGCTGGCCGATGCCAAGGCCTGGAGGCCACACAAACTACTCACTAGGATCTCAGCATGGCCTTACCCCATGCCTTCGTGCGGCTCCCAAGGCATGCAGTAGGAATTCTTGGGGGGAAACCTTCCCCCTCCACCATGAGGCTCCCTCAGGTGCCAGCCCTCCTACAGCCTCAGCTCTGCCACCAACTGCCGCGCCCAATGGGTCAGGCAAACCACGGCGCTTCAGCAAAACATTCTATTTTATTTTCTTATCTCAGCAAATGTTCTCAAATGTTCTCATCCGGCACCTGAATGGTACCAAACCAAAGCCCTCAGGCCAACAAATGGGAGCCGAGACCCTCTGCGAGCTTCCGGCTGCAGGTCTCAATGCCTCTGAGCATCAGAGCACCTTCCCCTTTCTGGTCCCTTAGTGAGGTCTATACATATCTCAGGTGCGCTCACGGTGCTGGCCACCAGGTGGCGGACAAGTCCTCACCCCGCAACCTGCTGGGACCGGAAGCCCAGCAGAGTCTGGAACACAAAGTTCTTTTCTCAGGTGCCAGGGCTCCAGACAGGGAGGGTCCTGATCATGCTTATTCGACACCGTCCTGGGTGCCTTGGCTGGAATGAAGGAAGGGCCACCTCTCTCCCCAGCGGCGGGGGGAGGAGATACCAGCTGCTTTACACTTGTTAGAGCTCAGACACCTAAGGCAGCCTTGTCTGGGTTAATGGGACCATGAGCTCTGAGGTCAGTGATGCCGGCTGACTTCGCAGCCGGAGCATAAAGGAAACTTTCCCAGGATCCATGAGAATACTGAGCCCGCTAGGACATTTTGCTTCTATGCCGTTTCCAGCTGCCAGAGGAGTTCAGGCCTGTCATGCTTGGGTCCATCGCAAGATTTCAATGCAGATGCGCTATTCAAAGGAAACAACAGGAAATAGATTTTAAGCATCAAGGATTTTTCATCCCTGCTGAGGGAACAGTTTCAGACATGGCCGGCCTAGAGAAAAGGGAGCACTCCGCAGGGTACAAGTTGCAGTTGCTTTCAGACCCAGACTTCTCGTCCAGGGCGGTGGGAGACTGCGCCCTCACACTTCCGGGGTGGTCCTCAGCTCTGGGCCCAGCACTCTGGCTGTGGAGAGCGAGCTCCCTCTCCGGCCCCCTCTGCGAGGCTAGTTGACCCGGCAGGCGCGGATCATGAGCAGCTGCAGGAGAATGAAGACGGGAGACGTGATGAGGCCGAACCAGAGCTCCCGAGCCTGCTCCACCAGCTTCTGGCACAACAACATCTCGAACACGAACTTGAGGCTGAGAACCGTGAGGATCCAGAAGAGGCGGAGCACGGCCAGCCGCTTCTCCCCGTCCTGGAAGAGACGCACCGACACGATGGTGGTGAAGTAGGTGCTGAGCCCGTCAGCGGCGAAGAAGGGCACGAACACGTTCCACCAGGAGAGGCCGGGGGCCAGGCCGTCCACGCGCAGCGCCAGCAGCACGGAGAACACCAGCAGGGCCAGCAGGTGCACGAAGATCTCGAAGGTGGCGAAGCCCAGCCACTGCACCAGCTCCCGGAGCGAGAAGAGCATCGCGCCGGCGGAGCGCGGGCCCGGGCCCCGCCGAGCGTCTCACCCGCCGGGCCGCGCCTCCCCTCCCCGCGGGCCTCGCCAGGCGCCCGCCGCTGCGGACGACGGGCGACGAGCGGCCCGCCTGCCCCGTTCCTCGGCCCCGGCGCGTCGCCGATCCCCCGACCCCGGCCCGGGACCCAGCACAGGCCGCCAGCGGACGCCCGGCTCGCTCGGACGCCATGCCCCGCTGGACGCAGCCCCAGCGCGTCACTTCCGGGCGACGCCGGAAGCCGGAAGTCAGAGTCTTTCCCGGCCGCCTGGGCTCTCGGGGCAACTTGTGGGTCGTGTTGCCGGGCGCAGGGGTCCCCTCACGCCGTCACGCCGCCCCCCTCCACCACCGCCACCCGATGCCGAGCCCACGGCTCCTGGTGCTGTTCGGCAGCCAGACGGGCACGGCCGAGGATGTGGCGGAGCGGCTGGGCCGCGAGGCCCGGCGTCGGCGTCTCGATTGCCGGGTGCAAGCCCTGGACTCCTACCCGGTGGTGAGGGCTCCCTGGGCCTCGGCGGGGAGCCCGGGCTGCCTGGGCGCCGGCCCCCTGAGCCCTCGGCCCCAGGGCGTCGGGTTTGGTCCGAGAGGACCCTCCTGTTAGGGAGGATTTGGGGGACCGGAAGCCGTGTGGAGGAGGGGCGGGGGCTCCCAGGGGAGAAGGGGGGCCGGGGCCCGCGGGTCTCCCCTTGTAACCGTGCCCCGCCAGCAGGGCACGATCAGGGCTAGGAATTGAGCTGTGAAGCCAGTGACCACATGTCCACCCTCATGGGGCCAAGCACAACGCAGAAGCAGCAGGTTTCACAGGCAGGGACAGTGCCAGGAAGCACAGGCCGCCGGGGAAAGAGCCAGATGTGGTGGGGGCAGCAGGAAGCGCTGTCTGTCCCAACCCGGGCGGAGGGATGCCCGGTCATCACAGCCCGAGGCCTTACACGTGTGTCTTTCTGTTGAGGTGAATCTGATTAATGAGCCCCTGGTGGTATTTGTTTGTGCAACTACAGGCCAAGGAGACCCCCCTGACAACATGAAGGTAAGGCTGCCACGGCGGCTGTGTGTGCTCAGGCGGGAGATCCCTGCCCTGGACCTCACCCCCTCGTCATTGTGTGGGGGGCAGGGTCTGAGAAGCACAGTGAGCCCGAGCCCTTTGGCAGTGCTGTGGGCGGCGGCAGCTGTGGGTGTGAGAGGAGCTGGGGTTCTGGTTTCCTCCCAATAAACTCCTCCAGGCACCACGGCTCCCCCTCCCGCTGTTCCGGGGCGTGTGAAGTGACAGTCACATTCCTGTTCTAGTGAAACTACCACTTGGGGGGGGTGGGCAGGATGTAGGAGAGCAAGGACAGTGGGGGGGATGGGGAGGCCTACCCAGCACGGGCAAGAGACTAAAGGTGGATGGGTCCCCGAGAGTTTAAGGAAGACTCGACAGGACACAGAAGCAAACGGATTTCAAAGATGAGAAAGAAGGCGGTGGGATCAAGACAGGGATTCAGGCTCGGGTACAGGAGGGATGGTTGTCGCACCCAGGGAAAGGGACCAGTGAGGCCCTGTGCCTGGGACCGTGCAGGTGGAGGTGGGAGGTGGCCCGGGAGCTCCAACCAGGCCCGGGTGGGGCAGGTGTTGGAGATGCCGCAGTGGGAAGCTGAGGAAGGAAGCCCCGCTCCGGCCCCCCAGGACAGGCTGTCAGCACCTCGGTCCAGCAGAAGAGGGAATGTAGGGTCTCCACGCACAAGAGGAGCCTTCAGAGGAAGGTGTCTGCTCAGGCCGCAGGGAAATGACGAGAGAAAGCTGAGGCCTCCCGTGGGGCTTATCAGCGAAGGACCGGTGACCTTGGGGTGGGGAGAGGCTGGATAAGGGTCACTGGCTACTGAGAGGGGAGGGAGTCTTTTAGGAACTTTGGCGTTAATGCAGAAAGGCTTCTGGCTGTGCTGGGGCTGAGGGGTTAGAATAGGGGTGTCGAACTCAATCAGAGAAGGGGCCAAAATCTAAAATCCAGCCTAAATCGCAGGCCGAATGGTTTACTGAACAGTCATAAAGTGTCATTGTGATGGAAACGCGGTGCGGGCCACATTGCAAGACCTGGCGGGATGGATTTGGCCCGCGGGCCTTGTGTTTGACACATGTGGGTTAGAAGGAAGGAACTATAAGATGGGAGAGGCCCGGGCCAGTGGATATGCTGGTGGGGTCAATGGCTGGAGACTAAAGAACAAGAGGGGGTGGGTCTGATGTGGGAGCTCGGGGTCTCCAGGACCCCAGCGCAGGGTCTCCTCAGACAGAGAAGGCAGGTTGGCAGGATCAAAGGCAGGTCCAGGCTCAGGCTTTTCTGTCAGCTTTTTCCTCCTTTTTTTTTAATATATCTTATTGACTTTTTACAGAGAGGAAGGGACAGGGATAGAGAGTTACAAACATCGATGAGAGAAAAACATGGATCAGCTGCCTCCTGCACACCTCCCACTGGGGATGTGCCCGCAACCAAGGTACATGCCCTTGACTGGAATCGAACCTGGGACCTTTCAGTCTACAGGCTGACGCTCTATCCACTGAGCCACACTGGTCAGGGCTCTGTCAGCCTCTTAAATACAAACAGACCACGGAGCCAGCGCCCGCCGCAGGGACCGCCCTGTGAGAGGCGGCCAAGGGCAGCGAAGAGCCGTCGGCGTGCTCCCCGCAGCGGGAAACGGGCCGGCCACAGGGGAGACGCCCGCGGCAGTGACACTGGGAGGTTGACAGGATAAAGTTGAGACATTCTTCCAAAAGGAACAAAAGATAAGATGTTAGAACTCGGTTCCTTCCCGGGGCCTGGGCTGAGGAGGTAGCGGAAGGCGCCAGGGAAGGTTACTCCTTGTCCCAGCACACGCACACGTCCTGTGGGGGTCACCGGGGACAGCAGCTCCTCAGCAGTGACCCCCCCGCCCGCTCAGAGCTCAGGTCCGTGTGGCGGGCCCGGGTCAGCACGGCTGGAGGTGCTGGCAGGCTGAGCCCCAGGCAGCTCTGCAGACCCTGGGCCTCGCCCTCGCAGCTCCTGCTCGGCTCAGCCACCAGGAGGGGCCCCAGAGGAAGGAAGGTGCTGCCGAGGGGGCAGGTGGGGGCGGACTCGGCCCAGAGCTGCGCTGTGGAGGCCCAGAGCCCCCCACCCCCAGGGACCCCGGGGATGGGGGGCTCTTGGTGTGGAGGAGCAGGCCCTCCCTCCAGCCTGGACTAAATAGGCTGCAGTGCCAGCCTCCCCCCCACACACACACCCCGGCAGTGCCTCGCAGTCCCTGCCTCTCCCGAGTGCCTCGCCTCTGCGATGGGATGAACATGGAAGGCGGTCTGTTAGCAACTGGGGGAGCGGGCCCTGGGGAGGCCGGGACCCGCCCTCCGGCCTGTCTGGGCTCGGTGCCGAGCGGGTCCTGACTCACATCTCTGGGGTCTCAGAGCTTCTGGAGGTTCCTGTTCCGGAAGAATCTGCTGCCCGCCTCCCTCTGCCAGGTGGCCTTCGCCGTCGTGGGCCTCGGGGACTCCTCCTACGCCAAGTGAGTGGGCGCCAGGCTGCGGCGGGGGCTTGCGAGGTGTCCGGGGGAGGGGCCGGTGCCCCAGCCTCCAGGGGCTCCCCAGTGGGTGCCTCTGTGGGTGGGCAGGGGGTCCAGGCCGGGCACCCCAGGGGACTTCCCGCTGACGCCCGCCAGCGCCAGGTATTCACAGGCCCCGGGACAGCCGCTCTCGCCCCGCTTCACAGAAACGTGTGGTGAGGTGCTCGGCTCGTTTCAAACCGTGCAGAGGCCCGCGGGGTGGGCACTGGGAGCCAAGGGCCCAGGCCAGGAGCCAGTGGCCACCACCTCCCCTCCATGTCCCTCCGCGTCCTCACGACCACCTGGGTCCTCGCAGAGGGCCGTGGCTGCACGCAGCATCAGGTCACGGGCGTCAGAACCCTGGCCGCCCAGCGGGTCAGGGCTGAGGGGCCACGCCCAAAGACGGGCGCGTGAGATAGGGCACGCTCACTGGAGGGAGGGAGAAAACTGGTGACTGGCCCTCGTGCTCACAGCGTCCCCGGGACGGCTCCTTCCGGGCTGCACTGGCCAGACCACCTGGGAGATGGGGAGACGTGGGGCTGCCCTCTGCCCTGCATGGCTGGCTGCGCCCTCTCCTCGCCTCCCGCCCAGCGCCCGTAGCAGCCTCCCTCTCTGCTCAGGTTCAACTTTGTGGCCAAGAAGCTGCACCGGCGGCTGCTGCAGCTAGGGGGCACCGCGCTGCTGCCGGTCTGTCTGGGCGACGACCAGCACGAGCTGGGGTGAGCTAGGGCTGGGGTGGGCGTGGGGCTGGGGTGAGGGTGGAGCTGGGGTGGGTGTGGGGCGGGAGCGAGCGCCTGGGGCCAGCCCTGAGCAGCCCGCACTGCGCTGCCCTCTCCAGGCCCGATGGCGCCATCGACCCCTGGCTGCACTCGCTGTGGGAGAAGGTGCTGGGGCTGCACCCCGTGCCCCCTGGCCTCGGCGTGATCCCCCCTGGAGTCCCGTGAGTGGCTTTGGTTCGGGGCCGCGGGCGCACCGAGCGGCTGGCCACCGCCCCCCGGGCCTCGCCTGCGGGTCTGACGGGCGCCCCTCCACAGCTTGCCTTCCAAGTTCACCCTGCAGTTCGTTCAGGAGGCCTCTGGGCCCTGCCTCTCGGAGCAGCACGCGGCCCAGGCCGACCCCCCGAGCCCCCCCTCAGAGCGGCGGCCCTTCCTGGCGCCCATGGTCACCAACCAGCGGGTCACCGGCCCCTCCCACTTCCAGGACGTGCGTCTCATCGAGTTCGACATCTCGGACTCGGGCATCAGGTGAGGATCCGTCTGGGCACCGGCCAGGCCACGGAGAGGGCCTGGTCCCCCCAGAGCCTCAGCAGGCAGATGGCGGCCGGCGGCGGCGGGCACCTCGGTCCCAGGGCCCAGCCCCCCCGGAACCAGCCCTCGTCTTCTGTGTCCACCTCCATCCGAGTCCCCAGCTCCCGCCCCCCTCCGTGGCTTCCCACAGCTTCGTGGCCGGCGACGTGGTGCTGATCCCGCCCGAGAACACAGCCCTGCACGTGCAGCTCTTCTGCCAGGCGCTGGGCCTGGACCCCGACCAGCACTTCACGCTGCAGCCGCGGGAGCCGGGTGAGTGCGGGCCGCGGCCTCCCCTGCCCCCACTTTCACCCCCACCCCCACCCCAACCCTCACCCGGCCCCGCCCCCCCCTCAACCCCACCCCCCTCCCCCCGCTGTGCCCTGGCCCCGGCCGGCCCCGGCCCACCGCCTCCTCTCCTGCTCCAGGTGCTGCCCGCCCCGCGCGGCTGCCCCAGCCCTGCTCCGTGCGGCACCTCGTGGCCCGGCACCTGGACATCGCCGGCGTGCCGCGGCGCTCCTTCTTCGAGCTGCTGGCCTGCCTGTCGCCCCACGCGCTGGAGCGGGAGAAGCTGCTGGAGTTCAGCTCGGCGGCCGGCCAGGAGGCCCTGCACCAGTACTGCAGCCGGCCCCGCAGGACCGCCCTGGAGGTGCGGGCGGCGGGCGGGGGCCGGGGGGGCCGGGGGGCCGTGGCAGCCGGGCCGAGCTGCCCACTGAGGCCGTGTCTGCGCAGGTGCTGTGTGACTTCCCGCACACGGCGGCAGCCATCCCCCCAGACTACCTGCTGGACCTCATCCCCCCGATCCGGCCGCGCGCCTTTTCCATCGCCTCCTCTCTGCTGGTGAGCGGCCGCCCGGGCCGCCCTCCCCTCTCCCAGGCTCGCCCTCCCCTCCCCCAGGCTCGCCCTCCCCTCTCCCAGGCTCGCCCTCCGAGGCCAGGTTCCAATGGGGGGCAGGTGCCACCTTCCCGTCCCCACCAACCCACGCCCCCCCCCCCCAAGGCTCACCCCACGAGGCTGCAGGTGCTGGTGGCCGTGGTGCAGTACCAGACTCGCCTCAAGGAGCCCCGCCGGGGCCTCTGCTCCTCCTGGCTGGCGTCGCTGGACCCTGGGCAAGGTGCCCTCCGCGCTCCGGCAGGTGGGGGTTCGGGCGAGGGCCCTGGCCCTCCAGCCACGTCATGCCGCCTTCCTCCCCCCGCAGGCCCGGTCCGGGTGCCCCTGTGGGTGCGGCCCGGGGCCCTGAGCTTCCCACAGGAGCCCAGCACCCCGGTGATCATGGTGGGGCCCGGCACCGGCGTGGCCCCCTTCCGAGCCGCCGTCCAGGAGCGAGTGGCCCGGGGCCAGACAGGTGAGCGGGCGGGCGGGCGGGCGTGCGGGCGGCTGGGCCTGTTTCAGGTCCAGGCTCGAGGCCCCTCCGTCCCCAGGGAACCTCCTGTTCTTCGGCTGCCGCTGGCGGGACCAGGACTTCTACTGGGAGGCCGAGTGGCGGGAGCTGGAGAAGAGGGGCTGCCTGACCCTGGTCACGGCCTTCTCCCGGGAGCAGGTGGGTGTGCGGAGGGCGGGCGGGGCGGGCAGGGCGGGGCGGGGCGGGGTGCTCACCCTCCCTCCTGTGTCCGGCGCCCCGCAGGAGCGGAAGGTGTATGTGCAGCACCGGCTCCGGGAGCGAGGGCCGCTGGTGTGGGAGCTGCTGGACCACCAAGGCGCCTGCTTCTTCCTGGCGGGGTGAGCCGGGGCGGGAGCCGGGGAGGGGGGCCAGGGGCGGGGGGAGCTCGGGAGCAGGGAGCCGGGGAGGGGGGCCAGGGACGGGGGGAGCTCGGGAGCAGGGAGCCGGGGAGGGTGGCCAGGGGCGGTGGGAGCCCGGGGCGGGAGCAGGGGAGGGGGGCCAGGGGCGGGGGGAGCCTGGGTGCAGGGGGAGCCAGGTGCAGGGTGAGCCAGGTTGTGGGGCCGAGCACCAGCCCTCGGGCACCAGGCAGCACTGAGCCCGGGCTGCCTGTCTCCCCAGCAACGCCAAGGACATGCCCGCAGCAGTGTCTGAAGCCCTGGTCTCCGTCTTCCGGGAGGAGGGTGGGCTCTCGGACCCAGAGGCAGCCGCCTACCTGGCCCAGCTGCAGCGGACCCTGCGCTTCCAGACCGAGACGTGGGCCTGAGGAGCTGTGCGCGGGGACCCTCAGGCTGCCCTGCCTGACCCCACGTGGCGACGGCCCGCTCCCTGTGTGGCCACATGCATCCGGGGCCTGCACTCAGCCGCCGTCCCTGGCTCCAGCCGGCCTTCCTTACTGGCTCCGAGTTAGGTCCTGCTCAGGAGCACCCAGAAGGCACCCTAGCCTGACAGGCATCAGGGGGCCCCCCCGGACAACCCCCCTGCCTGGTGGCGCACCGGCCCCAGTTCCCGGGCCTGGGGGGCTGTCACCATCCTCGCCTGGCTGCAGGAAGACTCAGCAATAAACGCCGGCTCAGGTGTTGCTTCTGACCTGTTTGTTCTCATGCTGTTCCGATGCCTCGGGTGGGCCTACAGCTCCTGACCGAGACAGCGCCCCTGGTGGGGACACAGCCGTGCTCAGCACCGGCTCAGCACCCCGGTGGGAACACTTGGGTGTCTGATTCTCGCCCGGTGGGGGTGGCTGCTGGCCCACCTTGTCCAAGCTCTGACAGGGGGTGGGGGGCAGTCTGGAGAGACCCGAAGGAAGGGTGTGGGGGGTGCCCTGCTAGGCGGGTAAAGGCCATTCCTTCAGCCAGGGAGCAGCAGCCTGAGGCCCAGGAGGAAGGGGGTGTGGCCAGGAGGGGGCGGGCAGGCGCTGTCACCACCTGGGATGGGCCTTCCCGGCCAAGGAAATTCCTGTTGGGGCAGTTGGGCAGGCGGCCCGGGGCCCATCTAAGTCAGGTGCTGCCCGGAGTCGCGGTAGCTGTGCGGCTCCGGCGGACCCAGCGGGGCAGCCTGTGGCCCAGGAGCGGCTGAAGCTGGCACGGTGCTGAGGCCACGGGAGTTCACTTCCCATCGGGGCGAGGAGCCAGAGGAGGCCGTGGCTGCTGCAAGGTCAGTGCCAGACGCTGGCCCAGCCCGAGGGCCAGTGACCTTCACAGCCCTACCGCCCACTGCCGCCCTGGGGTCCCGTCCCCCCGGTCCTGACTCCTGCCCCGGGGCCCCTCCTCATGGCCCCGCTGACCTTAGCTCGGGGCTCCCCAGTCCGCCCTCGGCATGCCCGGGGCCTGAGCGCCTGGACCCGCTGTGCCAGGTGCCGGCAGAGGAGAGGCCGGACGGCCAGGCCCTCGGGAGCCCTGGGGGTGCCAGGTGTCTGGACAGCGAGCCCCTGCTGGGGACCACAGCGGCAGCCCCCCCCTGGGCTGGGCCCACAGGGGAGGAGGAGGAAGAGGAGGAGGAGGAGTGTCCCATCTGCACAGAGCCCTACGGGCCCGCTGGGCACCGCCTGGCCCTGCTGAACTGTGGCCACGGCCTGTGCTCGGGCTGCTTGCAGCAGCTGCTGGGCTCGGCCCCCAGCGCCGACCTGGGCCGCGTGCGCTGCCCGCTGTGCCGCCAGAAGACGCCCATGCTGGAGTGGGCGATCTGCCGGCTGCAGGAGGAGCTGCTGCAGGCCGACGGGCCCCCGCGGCCCCCGAGCCCGGCGCCCCCCGCCCCACCCCGCCGGGGCCCGGGGCCCTGGGCCTCCCTGGAGCACCGCTACCAACTGCGCTTCCTGGCGGGGCCCGTGGGCGTCCAGGGCTGCCTGCCCTTCCTGCCCTGCCCGCCCTGCCTGGGCGCCTGGCTGTGGGCGCTGCGGGAGCGGGGGCCCTGCGCCCGCCGCCTGGCGCTGCTGGGCCTGCTGGGCCTCGAGCTGCTGGGGCTGCTGCTGGTCTTCACGCCTCTCATGCTGCTGGGGCTGCTGTTCATGCTGCTGGACCGCGCCGGCCACTGAGCGCCCGAGCGGGCCCGTGCCTCCGCCCGCACCGCCCGAGGCGCTGATGGCCACGTCCTGCAGGCCTGGTGCGCGGGGCCGCGCCTGGAGGAGCACCTTGCCCTGAGCCTGGTGACCAAGGCTGACCGGGCCTGGCCTTCGATCATGACCCAAGCTGGGCCCAGCTCACCCAGGAGCCTCTGTGCAGCCCCTGACTCTGAACCACTGCTGTCAGACAGTGCCCGCGGCGCCCAAGGACAGGCTGGAAGGTTCGTGGCAGGGCCCCAGCTCCCCTCGGGGACAGGCACCACCCGGCGTGTCTGAGGCTCAGAGGACATCGTGACCGGCCGCCTCACCTTGGAGGGTGGGCCTGGGAGGGGCTGCCGGCGCCCCACCCCCTCCTGCCCGTGTCCCAGGTCAGGGCCCACGTGTGTCCCTGAAGGTCGGGGCGGCCGAGAGGAGAGGCCCTCGCTCTGCAAACTCAACCCACGAGGGGCCTCCCCGCCAGCCAGCGGGGGACCCAGGGGCACCACGCGTGGCCAGGGCGGGCACATGCCCCTGAGCTACGAGGGACAGAGGCCAGCCTGGCCTTGATGCCGGAGCGCAGAGCTGAGCCCCTGCCTGCGGCAGCCCACGTCACCAAGCCGGGGCCTTCACCCGAAGGACAGACCCAGCCAGTCCCGGCACCGCCTCACCGGCCGGCCTCACCAGCTGGGCACACGCTGTGCCAGCCCAGGAGACGTGTCTCAATAAACAGCAGCAGCCGCTGGAACCACTGCTCCAGTGCTGTCCTCCCTGTGCCCTTGTCCCGTCCAGCGGCCCTGCTCTGCCTGCCCCGCGTCCTTCCCAGACCATCGGCCAGAAGTGCTACCCCCGTCACACTGACCCGGAGCCTTCCCACACGACCTCGGAGGGTCAGACGGTCCCCCACCCAGCCACCCCACGTCCGGTGGCTCCTGCCCTCTTGGGTCCTCCCTGCCCAGCTGGGTCCATTTGCACACCTGCCTGCACGTCCCTGCCTGGCTCACGCAGGCAGCTGGCTCTGCACAGGTGTGTGATGGTCACACTTAAGTACGCATGTGCGCACACGCACAGCCAGGCCCCGTCACCTGAGCAGCACGCCCGGCCCAGCTTGGCCAGGGAGCGGCTGCCCCCTCCGGGCTGCAGTCCCGGTGCCCACCCTGGCCCGGCGTGGAGGCCAGGCAGCGGCTGCAGGCCAGGGACGAGATGCAAACTTTGGCAGAGTTTTAATGGCAAAGTTGTTGCAGCGACAATGCCACACAGATGGGGGCCAGAAGCGGTGGGGGGTGGGGGGTGGGGGGATGGGGCAGGGCCGGGTCCCGGAAGCAGGCGGCGGCGGGGGCGGCGGGCGGCGGGCGGGCACTACATGATGGAGCAGGCGGACAGCGGGTTCCGCATGTGGCAGGTGCAGGCGGCCCCGCAGTACTGCCGGAAGGTCTGGTAGCAGCTGCCCTCGGGCTCACCCCCCCACTGGCCGCCGGACGGGGCGGTCAGCGCCTCGGGCGGCAGGCGGCTCAGGATGGACGTGTTGACGGCCAGCGCGGCCAGGCCGTAGTCGGTGAAGAGCACAGTCTCGCGGCGGCAGGTGGGGCAGGAGATGAACTTGTACTTGGGGCAGGACTCGTAGAGGATCTGCAGGCACTGCTCGCACACGGAGTGCAGGCAGGACAGCACGCGAGGCCGCCGCTGCGCGGCGTTGTACGTGTGCCCGCAGGTGGGGCACTCCAGGGGCTCCCCGGCGGGGGGCCCGGGGGCCGTGGGGCCCGGCGCCCGCATCACGTACTGGTTCACGAAGACCTCGTCCACGGGCGCCACGCGGGGGAAGCCCAGCTCCGCGCTGCCCTTGCGGGGCCGGCGTGGCAGGGGCGGGGTGCGGGACGCCCCCTCCAGGGCAGGCATGTCCCCCCCACATGCCTGGCTGACGGTGATCTCGGTGTCCGAGGGCCAGGCCCGCTTGGGAGCCAGAGCTGGGGTGGGCCGGGGCGCGGGTGGGAAGCAGGGGGCGGCCGCCTGCAGCTCGGGGAACTTCTCGGGGTGGACGATCTTCATGGCCTCCATCTTGAGGATGACATGGGGGCCCTTCAGGCAGGACATGAGGAGGCCCGGCCGGCCGCTGCCCGCCTCGGGCCCGGGGTCAGCCGGCATCCGGCTGTCTCCGGTCAGACAGGGTGTTAGGGTGGGAGGGGGCGTTGGGTGGGGCCGGGGGGGAGGAGCAGGGGCAGCATCCTGGTCCCGCCAGGCCTGGTGGGGACCCCAGCCTCCCCGAGGACTCTTGGGGGCGACTGGCGAGAGCTGGGGGGGCAGGGCCCCTCCCGGTGGCCACAGCGGCTTCTCTGGTCCAGTCCGAGGAGGAGGAGGAGGAGGAGGAGGAAGGGGTGGGGGGGCGGGAGGCAGGCAGGGCGGGCAGAGGGGGGCGGGAGGCTGCCTGGGGCTGCAGGTCCGGCCCAGGGCCTCACCCAGGGTCTCGGGCTGCGGGGGCCGGCGAGGGGCTTTGGGGCGGGCTCTCCGTGCGGCCGAGGTCAGCAGTGCCCGGGCCGGGCCGTCCGGGCAGGCGGGGGCTAGGTGGGCCCCATGGCTCCAGGGCAGGGCGCCCAGGGAAGGCAGGTAGCCGGAGGCCTGGCTGCGGGCGGGCCCGGGCCGCAGGCTCGGCGGTGGCGGGAGCGGGGAGGAGGCCCGGAGCAGGCCCGAGCTGCAGGTGAGAGACGGCGTGAGCACGGCCCGCCCGCGCGCCCTCGCTCCGCACAAAAGGCCGGCGCCGACCTCTGACCCCGACCCTCTCCCCGCGCGGCCCGGCCCCCTCCCCGTCCCGCCCCCGAGGCCGCCGGGCCGCGCGGGGCGCCGCCGCTCTCACCTGCCCCAGCCTGGCGGCCGGCCGCCGCCGCAGAGGTTGTCTCAAAGGCGGCGGCTGCGGGCCCGCGCCCGGCCCGGCGGCTCCGGCGGCTGCGGCGGCTCCGGGCGATGGCGCGGCGGCTCCGGGCGATGGCGCGGCGGCCCCCGGGCGCGGGGAGCGGGGAGCGGGGAGCGGGGAGCGGGCGCGGCGGCGGCGGCAGGTGCGTGCGAGGCGCGGCGCGCTCTGCGGCGGAGGCGCGGGGACCGCAGTGCGCGCGGCGCCCGCCCGCGCCCGCAGCGCCACCCCCGCCTGGGACCCGCGCGGGGTCCGCGGGGCGGGGCCAGCGGCTCCGGGCTGCCCCTCGGTCCGCAGAGGGCCCGGCGCCCGCCCCGGGGTCACCGGCGCCCGCGGGCCGCGTGCGGGTGCCCGTCCCGCCCCGCCCCGCCCCCGGCGCCCCGCCGCGTCCCCGCCTGGCGGACCGGAGCCCGAGCCAAGCCTCTCCGCCGGAGCTCAGGGCCAGAGGGAAAGGAGGGGCCCAGAGGTGACCCCGGAGAGCTGGCTCCCGGGCTCGGCCCTGGGGCCGCCGGCGCCGCCCTCCCGCCCCGGAGCTCAGGGTCTCGGCTCAGGCCCGTGAGCGCCTCGGGGCTCCGGCCCCAGGTGCGCCCGGCACCGGCCAGCGCCGCAGGCTGCGGGCAGGGTGGCCACGGAGGGGCGCAGGGTGGGCAGGCGCCAGAGTGGATGAGGGAGGGCCGGCTGGAAGAAGGCTCCAGGACCAGGGCGGCCGGACAGGTGGGTGGGGAGGCGGACGTGGAAGGTCAAACAGCCGGAAAGACAGCACACACCCACCCAGGGTGCGGTGGCCTCCGCACCCCCAGCAGCACGTGCGGCCGTCACACCGCTGGGTGCGCACCTGGCCCCACCCAGCAGGAAGCCCCATTCCTCTCTGCTCCCTCCCCAGCCAGGCCTCCCTGGTCCCCGGGCCTAGGGGGCCTCCCTGGGTGACGGAGCACAGAGGACGTGTGTTGGGTTCCCCAACCCACAGGGAGGGAACCAGGGCCTGCCTCTGACCGGGACAGCCGTCTCCTCCGTGTGGGCCGGGCTGCACCTGTGTGCGGGCCCTCAGGGCCGCGGAGCCCGGAGCTCGGTGACCCGGAGAGGCAGCCACGTGGGCCCACCGGGCAGGAGGAGAGCCCCTGGCCCTGGGCCGGCCTGTGCGACCTCCGGCCAGGGTCTAGGCCAGGAGCAGGTGGGAGAGGCGGAGGGGCAGGCGGCCTCCAGGGCTCTGGCATGAAGTGGGACCCAGGGAGGCTCTCAGACTGAAACCGGTGTTGCTCAGTGGATAGAGCGTCAGCCTGCGGACTGAAGGGTCCCGGTTCCATTCCGATCAAGGGCATGTACCTTGGTTGAGGGCACGTCCCCCAGTAGGAGGCGTGCAAGAGGCAGCTGATTGATGACTCTCATCGATGTTTCTATCTCTCTCTCTCGCCCTTCCTCTCTATAAAAAATCAATTAAAAATATATATATATCCTCAATATATATATATATTTTTAAAGGGAGGCTCGCGGGCCAGTGGACACGGGGGAGCCCAGCATCAGCCCCGCACCCCCCTACAGACCCGCTGGGCAAGCGCAGCCCAGGCCCCGCCCCCGCCCGAGGCCCCGCCCCCAGGAGCGAGGCCCCGCCCCGTGCAAGCCCCCGCCGGATCCGCGCCTCGTGAGCTCCCGGGACGGCCCAAGGCGGGTTCGGAGCGGTCCGGGCCCGGCAGACCCCGAACCGGGTCTTCAAGGAAGCCCTCGAGCGCGGAGGCTTCTGGGGAATAAAGTTCCCACAGGCCGCCTCGGGCCTGTGGTCGCGCATGCGCCTGGCTGCCTGGCCGCGAGGGGCGGAGCCTGCAGGCGCGGTGGGCGGGGCTTACGGCGCCTGCGCACGGGCCTCCGCTCCGTCCTGGGAAGTTCATGGCTGCGGGACTGTCCCGTGGGATCAGATGCTGCATCGGAAGAGCTCGTGTCCGGACCGGTCAGACCGGCCCCCCGCAGAGGCCACCCGGGTCACCCTGGCCCCTGGGCCACGTCTGAGTTGATCCCGCCCTTCCTGGGGGTTCCCCACGGCCACCAAGCACCGGGGTGACGGGGCCTGGCCGCACCCTACTGCCCCGGGGGGCGCTCGCCAATTCCAGGGTGCACAGTGTGTGCATCTGTTGTCACCCCTGCACACAGCCACCCTGTACGGCAAGTGCGGAGTGCCACCTTCCCATCGGAGGTGGGAGGGTTCAGGGCCCAGGCTGGGCGCTGAGGGGAGACTCCTGGCCCCAGGCGCCTCCCCGCAGAGGGAGCCAGACTGTCACTGGGCGTAGGAAGCGCGTGTCACCAGTTGTCAGATAAGTTTTATCAGCAAAAGTGTGTAAATCGATTTTTTTATCAATGAAAAGGCAAGCCTCTGAGTCGGGCGGCACCTCTTTCCTGCAGGAGGCATTTGGTATTAATGACATCGTGCGCGGGCCACACAAATGACCAGCTTCAGAGCCAGCCTGCTCTGTCCCTCACACGTGTCATTAAGGGCCAGGCCGCACGGCTTCCCGGGCCTCCCACGGCCCACGGGCCCGACATCCCCACCCCTCCACTCGGGCGTCCACGCCTCAAACCGCTCCGGTCTCGACCGGGACAGAGGCTGCGGCTGCCGAAGAGCAGGGGCTCTGAGGGGCACGAGTGAGGCCAGAGCCCCCACACCACCTGCCCTGGGGTCTGAGGCCTGACCCCAGCTCCCCGCCCGGCCTCCCGCCCGGGCCCAGGACGTGCCTGGCGTGTGTCGGGGCTGAGTCACCCTGGCTGGCCGTGCCCCTCTGAGCCCGGGCCGTGGCCACCGCCCACCGGGAAGGAAGGGTGGGTGCCCACTATGCTGGAGGAGCTAGAGCCTCCCGGGAACGTGGGAACCCCGTTTTGAGGCCCGCCCACGGCCCCACCCCTCCCCAGGAGGGAAAAGGCAGCTGCCAGCCGCCGGCTCACAGGCACGGCAGGACCAGAGGACAGACTGCGTTTGCCACTCCAGGTGGGTCCTGGGCCCTCCCTGCCCTGGGGCTCCCCGTAGGGCCAGCTCTGCTGTGCCTCCAGACCCCCCCCCCTCCCAGCTCCCCCAGGGGTCGGCCACTCGGGGCAGCCGGAGACCAGCCCTCACACTGGCTTTCCCCGGGGTGGGCACTTCCCCTCCATGGAGCCAACTGTCTGCTCTGCCCCCCCCGCCCCCGCCAGGCCGGGCCATGGACCCCCATGAGATGGTGGTGAAGAACCCCTACACCCACATCAGCATCCCCCGGGCCCCCCTGCGCCCCGACCTGGAGCAGCAGCTGGAGGCCGCGCACCGCCCCTCGGAGCGGCAGCCGCTGTCTGGGGGTGCCTGCGCCCCGGAGCCCTCCCGCCTGCTGCAGCCCGTGGAGGAGGTCTGGGGGCCCCAGGGGGCAAAGGGCGCCAAGGGGGGCGCCAAAGGGAGCGCCAAGGGGGGCGCCAAGGGGGCCGCCCCCGTCCAGGGCCCGCAGTCCTGGCAGCAGCCTGGCAACCCCTACTGCGTTGGGCAGCGCGGACTGACCTACGCCGGCCGGCCGCCCATCGGGCGCGGCGACGACATCGCCCACCACTGCTGCTGCTGCCCCTGCTGCTCCTGCTGCCACTGCCCGCGCTTCTGCCGCTGCCACAGCTGCTGCTGCGTCGTCTCCTAGCCCGGCCCCCGGGCGGCCGGATCCCGCTCGGGAGCGTGTGGACATTGGAGGTGCCCGCTGGGCCATCGCACAGGTGCCCGCCGCCTCCCCCCCGGGCAGGGACGTGCCAGCGAGCCCAGCCGCTCAGCTCGGCCTCTGGAAAAGAGGCCCTGGACCCCCTCCCTCCAGGCCCGAGCCCGTAATAAAGCAGTGAGCGTCCTCAGGCCATTCCTTTCAGGGGGACCCGGGCTGGAAGGCACTCAGGCCCCTGGCCTGGGGACAGGGAAGCCATGGCCGATTCTGTAACCTGCACTGCGGGACCGGGTCTGCCCTGAGGCTGCCAGGAGGGCCGGAGTGTGACCCCGGCCCTGGCCAGGCCTGGGTTCAGCTGGGAGACGCCTCAGTCTGTAGGTCGGCCAGGGGGCCGTGCATGGGATCTGGGGAGCGGGGCCCCAAGAAAGGCCCCCAAGAGAGGACGCGGCAGAGGGGAAGGGGGGGTGGGCCGGTGCCGGCAGGCTGTCTGTCTGGGACTGGGCGCTCCGGCAGCCAGGACCGAGCCTGCTCCCTCTGAGTCACAGCCCGCCCGCCAGCCACCAGGCATTCTTCCTCCCACCAAACCCCGTTCCTGCACCTGCCCCGGGGCCCCGTCCAGACTCGGGCCTGGGCTTCCTGGAGGAGGCGGGGAGCCCCGTGGAGCCCCTGTCCCCACACACCCCTGCCCCCGGCTGCACGCAGCACAGCATGCCTGTGGGAGGGCGAGGGGGCAGCTCTGCTCGAAGGAAGCCGGCATTGCCTCACCGCGGGTGAGGCCGGGATGCCGGGGCGAGGAGTCAGTGGATGCCGGCACGGAGCGCCCGTGTTTCCGGGCTGGGCCCAGAGCGGAGGGAGGAAGTCGAGCTGGCCCCGCAGGACAGACAGGTCCCGTGCTGGCCCTCCCTGACCCGTGGTGACTGGCCGCCTGGGTGTGGACGGACATGTCACTGGCTGTGACTGTGTCACGGACATGTGACTGTGCAGGAACGCGGGGTGCCCGACTGCCGGCCACTGCCCCCGGCCCGCCCCCTCCCAGGCCGGACCCAGAAACCTGTCCGATCGGTGCCCCCTGCCAAGAGGCTGCACCCTGCCCACGATGGGAGTGAGGGGGCTCTGGCCTTGGGCTTCCCGCCACCGAGGTGGAGGAGCCTTGGGGATCCGGACCGTCTCAGCCCTTCTCTACGCACCCCATTCTGCCGTGTCTGAGGCCCTGGGGCCCTGGCGGTGGTGGGGGCTCTGATGGGTGTCCAGGGCTGACTCTGGGTGGTCCGTGTCTGTGCCAGGACCTCCTTGGGGCCTTTCCAGATGGGCCACCTGCCCCCCCAGGTCGAGGGCCGGGATGAAAACACTGGCCTGACCAACAGGCACCCTCACACTGTGATTGAACTGGGCGGGGCGGGCCTCAGGCTCTGGGCCAGTGCGGCCCCGGCGGGCTTCCTGGAGGAGGCGACAATGGAACGGAGATGAACAGGCCCATCCGGTTAAGACCAGGAGCCGCTCTGGCTGGGAGGGGAGCGTGAGGATGAGGCGGGAGGGAGTCAGGGTGAGCAGCGGAAGGATGAGCCGGGAGGAGCGGCAGAGCCAGGCCTGGGTTGGGGGTTCCTGCCGCTGGGTCTGGCCCGGGGGTGGGGGCGGGGCAGCGTGGGGGGGGGCCGGTGGATCCAGTTGCAAGTGCTTTGTGGCTGAAAGGGGAGCCCGCCCGCCCGCCTGCAGCCACCACCTGCCTCCCTGCTGACTCGGGCTCGGCCAGTAACGTGAGCCCCTGGGAGGGAGCCGCAGGGCGCCCTGGGTCCCCCCACCCCGGCCACCCTCTGGCCGGCCCAGCCGCCCTGCAGAGCGGATGCAGGTAGGAGGCCCGTGGCCGGGGCAGGCGGGTGGGTGGAAGGGGGCAGGCCGGGGCCCAGCAGGAGGGCCACGGGAAAGGCCAGGCAGCTGGCCCGGACGCTGGCCCTGGGGACCCCGCCTGGGGCGGCCTGGGCTCCTGACCCCGGGGCGGCTCCCGGTGCCTGGGCCCTGAGCGGGCAGGACGGGGCCGAGGCGGGAGGGCGCCCTGGCGGTGAGCTCCCCGCGTGCCTCCCCCAGGGTGCTGCCTCGGAGGAGGGGCCGGCCGCCGGGGCCCGGCGGGGCGACTGCATCGTCTGCTACTCGGCCTACGACCTGGCCGGCCGCCTGCCGCGCCGCCTGTACTGCGGCCACACCTTCTGCCAGGCGTGCGTGCGGAGGCTGGACGCACCCGCCCACGAGCAGCGCTGGATCCCCTGCCCGCAGTGCCGCCAGAGCACCCCCACGCCCCGCGGAGGGGTGGCCATGCTGGACCTCGACCTGGCCGCCTTCCTGGCCATCAGGGCCGAGCGGGAGCCCCCCCGGGCCGGGCCCCGGCCCCCCGCGCCCCTCAAAGGCGGCCCCGCGGTCACGCAGCAGCCCGCCGTGCTCTGCCCGGCCCTGGGCCCCCAGCCCCGCTTCCCCCAGCCCTGCTGCTGCTGCTGCTGCTGCGGCTGCGGCCAGCTCTGCTGGGCGCCCCCGGGCAGCCCTGGCGTCTGAGCTCTGGCCGTGGCGGCCCCAGGGGCAGGATCAGGGCGCTGGCGCACAGCCCACCCGGAACAGCCCGGGGACTCAGAGTCCGGGCGCCACCCCCCACGGACGCCTGGGCCACGGCACTGGAGGCTCTGCAGGGACGGTGACTGCCCCCCAAGCCGCAGGGGTCCCGGCCCCGAGCTGGCCTGGGTGCAGGGGTGGAGGCTGCTGCCCGAGTCTGTAAGCCCCTTCCTGACCCCTCCCAGGGGTCTCAGTGGGCGTGGGGGGGCTGGGTGGGTGCTTCCCTGAGTGGGTGCCCGCTATGCTGGCAGCCTGTGGCGTTTTCACTCAACAAAGCTCGCTGAAACCACCGTGTCTGTGCCATGAGGGGCCCTGCAGGCATGAGGTCACCGGGAACAGGTGTCTGAGGAGAGAGTCAGCTCCAGGCCCAGAGGGTCCGGCTCACAGACAGCACAGCAGGCCTCGCTGGGCCCTCAGTTGCCTTCTGCCCCCAGTGGCCACACACAGACCCCACGGAGGGGCCACGGCAGCTGCTGGCAGCCTTGGGCCAGACACCCCAGGCTGGGCTACCATAGTCCCCTCCACACACACTCACACATACTCACACACTCTCACACACTCTCACACACTCTCACACACACTCACACACACCCGGAGGAGCTGGGCCCCCTCCGGGGAGAGGCGCCAGGCTCCGGGGTGCTGGTGGCAGGCAGGCAGGCGCGGGAATCTGGTGAGAACACTCAGAAAGCTGGTCCGGTCCCGGGCAAAGTCCCGGGCTCGGGGACGGGTGGGCAGGGCAGGGTGCGGGTCAGCAGGCCCCTGGGGAGACCCCGCCTGAGGGGGGCTGGTCCCAGCACCCCGGGAGCAGGAAGGGGAGTGACCCCAAGTGACGCACCAGCCATAAGGCCTGTCAGGGCTCGGCTGTGGAGGGGCTGGGCCAGGCCTCCGGGTCCACGGGGGGCTGGGTGGAAGCTGGGCCGGAGCATGGCCTTGGGGGTGCCCTCCCCGACCCTGCTCCTCCCTCCACTTGCAATTGGGGACCTGACACCCTAACCGCTGCTGCCCACCCCCCCCCACCCCCCCGCCCCGGCCCCAGCCTGCAGAGAGCTCTGCCCAGCCCGGCCCTGAGCCAGGCCTGAACCGGGTGACCTGGGGCCGCCCCCCCCCCCCCCACCTGACTGGTACAAAGGGCTTCCCTCCCACCACCTGCCAGGCAGGGACAAGCCAACCCAGATCCATTCTGAGACTCAGGCAGACCTCCCCGGGCCCCCAGCCGGCGTCCGGCGGGCAGTGTCCCCTGATGCAATGTCAGACGGGCACCGGCTTGTGAAGGGCCGGCACCGAGGGCCACGGCACGGCCACGCGAGGTCCCGGCCTGGCGCGGGGCCAGGAGCACCTGCCGGGTGACAGTGGGACCCGGGCATGGAGGTGCCTGGGGCTCCGCGGGGCTCCCCGGGGGCCTCGCTCTGGGTAAACATTAATGGGGCTCAGCCCACAGCAGGTCATGTGTGCGCCCGGCGGATCTTTGACCTGCGGCTGCGCCCGCCCGCGCCTCCTCCCCGCAGGTGCCCCCTCACCACCCACACAGGTAGGCGCTTCGAGGACCAGGAGGCCCGGGAGCCCCGGGGCCAGGGCCGGGGGCCTCCAGGACACAGACCGGCTGCGGGCCAGCAGGAGGGAGGGTGACGGGGCCCCCGGGACCGGGCCCGGGGACGGGACAGCTGAGGCGGAGAGCTGGGTGGGGGCCCAGACCCCGAGGGCCGAGGGGAGCCCGCGCACCTCCGCTCCCTGCCCTGCCCCTCCGAGGGGGCGGGGCCCTTATCGGGAGGAGACAGCACCGTTTGGTATCAGATGCCAAAGTCTAAGTCATCTGCGATGGCCCCGGTGACCCCTGACAGAGGAGGTCCCGGGTTCCAGCTCCCAGCCACTTGGGGCCGAGCCTCAGCACCTCCGCCGGGGCCACCCACCAGGCCTGCCTGCAGCCGGACGGTGAGGGAGCCGGCCGCCGGCTCTGCTCTGCCCCCACACCGGACTGGGCTTACTGACCGCGGCCTGAGGTCTCCATAGCCATAGGGGAGGACGGGGAGGGGTCACCCAGGCCAGCGGGGCCCAGGGGCCTGGGGGGGCTAGAGGGAAGCGGGGGTCTGACCGGCCTTCCCCCCCGCAGATCCGGGCTCGGGCCTGGGTCTGTCCTCGCCGGAATCCATGCGGAGCTCTCTCCCCGGGGGCCAGGTCAGCCCCCCGGCCCTGGACACGCTTAGCCTGGCGGACCGGAGCCCAGGAGATGCAGGTATCAGGCCCAGCCCTGCACCCCGGCCCGGGGAGGGGGAGGGGCTCCGGACGACCCCGGTCAGGCCCCGTCCTCCCACGTCCTGTGGGTTCCTCACCCCAGCCCCTGTCATGGCTTCCCCACCCCCACCCCCTCCACTGGGGGTGACAGAGCAGCTCGGTCCCTGGCTCGACCTGCCCCTGCCCCTGCCCCGCAGGGACCTCCAGCTCCGCCCCCGCCCTGGACCCCTGGGCCCTCCCCCAGCTGAAGGACACGGGCCAGCCCTGGAGGGGTAGGTCAGGGGAACAGCCATGCGGGGCTGTGCTCCAGGGTCTGAGCACGGAGAGGGCCTGGGGGGAGCACAGAGGGGGCTTGCCCTGCCCAGGGAGGCCTCGGGGCTATCTTTGTGGCCCTTCCGTAAAGGGGGTTGCCCAGCCCTGCCCGGGGAGGGGGGACGAGTGGGCTGGCGGGGGGCGGACGGGCTGGCTGTGGACCCCACCCTGTGTCCGCAGAGCTCGGCGCAGCCGGCAGGGCCCAGCGGGTGCTGCTGGGCCTCCTCAAGGCCTGCGGGCTCCTGGGCAGCCTCTACCTCTTCGTCTGCTCCCTGGACATCCTCAGCTCCGCCTTCCAGCTGCTGGGCAGTGAGTGGCCGGAGGGGCGGCCGGGGCGCGGCGGCCGCCGGGCCTGGGCCTCAGGGCGCCTCTCCCCCGGCCGCAGGCAAGGTGGCTGGGGACATCTTCAAGGACAACGTGGTGCTGTCCAACCCCGTGGCCGGGCTGGTCATCGGCGTGCTGGTCACCGTGCTGGTCCAGAGCTCCAGCACGTCCTCCTCCATCGTGGTCAGCATGGTGGCCTCCAACTGTGAGTGCCCTCCTGCCCGGGGGGGCCGGGGGGGCCGGGGGGCCGGGCGGAGGCTGACGCGGCCCCCCCACAGTGCTGCGCGTCCGGGAGTCTGTGCCCATCGTCATGGGGGTCAACGTGGGCACCTCGGTCACCAGCACGCTGGTCTCCATGGCGCAGTCGGGGGACCGGGACGAGTTCCGGAGGTGAGTGGCTGGCGGGCAGGCGGGCGGGCGGGCGGGGCGCGGGGGAGCCGGTCTTCGCCGACCCCCGCCGTCCCCCGCGGCGCAGGGCCTTCGGCGGCTCCGCCGTGCATGGCGTCTTCAACTGGCTCACCGCGCTGGTCCTGCTGCCGCTGGAGAGCGCGCTGGCCCCGCTGGAGAGGCTCAGCGCGCTGGCCCTGCGGGCGGCCAGCCTGCAGCCCGGGGCGCAGGCGCCCGACATCCTCAAGGTGCTGACGCAGCCGCTCACCCACCTCATCGTGCAGGTGCGGGCGGGCGGGCGGGCGGGCGGGCGGGCGGACGGCTGCCCTCGGAGGAAGGCCCTGAGGGCTCGGCCTGGGCGGAGGGGACAGAGGAGGGGGTGTGGGCCCTGCAACGGTGTGAGCTCCAGGCAAACTCCCGTGAGTCCAGCTCAGGGTCGCGACCCCTCCGCCTGCAGCTGGACGCTGACGCGATCGCCAACAGCGCCACGCGCAACGCCACCAACGGCAGCCTCATCAAGCACTGGTGTGGCGCCAGGGAGCCCGCGGTGAGCACCGCCGCCCGCCCTCCGCCCCCCACCCGGCCCCACGCCCGCCCCGAGCCGCCCTGCCTGTCCCCCCAGATCCCAGGGAACAGCAGCGACTGCGGGGCGGCGTCCCCGGGCCCCTGCCCCAAGACCAACGGCTCCACCACGGCGGAGCAGCTGCCCTGTGAGGCCCCCAGCCCCGCCGCCCACCCCGCCCGCCCGCCCACCCCCCAGCCCCGCCGCCCACCCCGCCCGCCCGCCCACCCCCCAGCCCCGCCGCCCACCCCGCCCGCCGCACCCCAGCCCCACCGCCCACCCCGCCCGCCCGCCGCCCCCCAGCCCCGCCTCCCACCCCGCCCGCCCGCCCGCCGCCCCCCAGCCCCACCGCCCGCCCCGCCCGCCCGCCCGCCCGCCCCCCAGCCCCGCCGCCCGCCCCGCCCGCCCGCCGCCCGCCCGCCACCCCCCAGCCCCGCCGCCCCCCAGCCCCGCCGCCCCCCAGCCCCGCCGCCCCCCAGCCCCGCCTCCCACCCCGCCCGCCCGCCCGCCGCCCCCCAGCCCCACCGCCCGCCCCGCCCGCCCGCCCGCCCGCCGCCCCCCAGCCCCGCCGCCCGGGCCTCGGGGCGCCGCTCACCCTGCCCGCCGCCAGGCCACCACCTGTTCTCGGGCACGGCGCTCTCGGACCTGGCCGTGGGCCTCATCCTGCTGGCCGGCTCCCTGCTCGTCCTCTGCTCCTGCCTCGTGCTCGTCGTCAAGCTGCTCAACTCGCTGCTGCGCGGCCGCATCGCCCAGGCCGTGCGCACCGTCATCAACGCCGGTGGGTGTGCGGGACGGGTGGGGGCGGGGCGGGGGAGAGGCCGGCCGGGGTGACCTCGCTGCCCCCCCAGACTTCCCCTTCCCGTTCGGCTGGCTCAGCGGCTACCTGGCCATCCTGGTGGGCGCCGGCATGACCTTCGTGCTGCAGAGCAGCAGCGTCTTCACGGCCGCCATTGTGCCGCTCATGGGTGAGCAGGCCGGCACCCTGGGGCGGGGGGCGGGGACCAGGGGTGGGGGCGGGAGGGCGGGGGGCGGGGGCCGCCCTGACCCCGGCTCCTCCAGGCGTGGGGGTGATCAGCCTGGAGCGGGCCTACCCTCTCTTGCTGGGCTCCAACATCGGAACCACCACCACGGCTCGGCTTGCCGCCCTGGCCAGCCCCCCGAGAATGCTGCCCAGCGCGCTCCAGGTACTGCCCTCCTGGTCCTCCCCACCCCGGCACTCCAGACCCCACAGCCAGCCCCGCACAGGAAGCTGAGGCCTGCCCCCGGCTGGCCACAGCTCAGCTCTCCGGGGACCCACCTCCAACCGCCGGCCGGGCCAGCTGCCCATGTCCTGGGTGCCAGGAGACTCGGGCGTCTCGGGGACCCCAGTCCCGCTGCTCCTCCCCTGCTACCTTGTGCGGTCCTGGATGCCCTCTGCACTGCCCCCTCCCCCCCCCGCACCCTGTGCCCTGGCTCTGCTCCTCCCTGGGTGGCCTGGCCCCTGCTATTCCACCACCTCCAGGTGGGCCCGCCCCCACCACCCAGCACCCAAACCCAACAGGTCCCCTCGGGTGACACACTTGGTCCTGCAGAGGCGTGCCTGCCCTGTGCCGGGCACCGCATGCCTCCGGCTCTGCCCTGTACCCCGTCCCGCCCAGCCCGGCTTCCCCTCAGGGTCCACTGCTCCTCCGGCCAAGCGTCCTCCTCCCCTGCTTCCACCTGGGCCCAGGCAGCTCCCGAAGGTCCTGTCTCGCTGGGCTGCTGCCTGCAGGGAGAGAGGCCCAGGCCCCACCTCCCACCTGTCCACTCGGACCCCCCCATGTGGGGCCTGCCCCACCTCCTCCAGGGAGCCCCCCAGTCGGTGCCCTCCGGCTCGGCTCCTCCGGCCAGCAGCCCCCGGACGGGGGAAGGAGGGGGTCTCCCCACAGCAGCCAGGCCAGAGCCCAGGGCTGGGTGGCCAAGCCCTCTGAGGGATGAGAAGCAGGGGTGGGGGTGGGGGGAGTGGGAGCCATTCAGGTGCCCCCCAATGCGGGGCAGTGCAGGAGGCCATGCCCACACCTGCCTGGAACCTGCCCTCCCAGGTGGCCAGCTCAGCCCAGAAGCAGGACCCCAGCCTGATTCGGACTCAGCACCATTGGGGGGGAGGCAGCTGGGGGGCCAGGGGACCCCATCACGGCCCTGCCCGCTCCGCCCGCAGGTGGCCCTGATCCACTTCTTCTTCAACGCGGCCGGCATCCTGCTGTGGTACGCGGCGCCCCCGCTGCGGCTGCCCATCCCGCTGGCCCGGCGCTTCGGGGACCTGACGGCCCGCTTCCGCTGGGTGGCGGCGGCCTACCTGCTGCTCAGCTTCCTGCTGCTGCCGCTCGCCGCCTTCGGGCTCTCGCTGGCGGGCCCGGCGGTGCTGGCGGGGGTGGCGGGGCCGCCGCTGGCGCTGCTGCTGCTCGCCGCCCTGGTCACCGCGCTGCAGCGGCGCCGGCCGGCCTGGCTGCCCCGCGCGCTGCGCTCCTGGGCCTGGCTGCCCCGCCCGCTGCGCTCGCTGCAGCCCTGGGACCGCCTGCTGCGGCGCTGCTGCCCCTGCGGGCCCGCGCCGGCCGCCGCCAAGGGGAACCACTGCTACGACAACCCCCAGGGCCCCGAGGGCCCCGAGGGCCCCGCGGTGCTGGCCTCCCAGCGGCTGTGAGGCCCCCGCCCCGCACGGAGCTGGGGGCGCCCCGGGGGTCCCCGGAGCTGCGGACTTTGGCGCCGGCGGGCGCGCCTTCCAGCAATAAACGCGGCTGGGACCCCAGTGTGAGTGTCTTGTCTCCCCGACGGCACAGCCCGGGTCGCCCGTCCCCCCACACCACCCCCCGGCGGGAGCGGCCCTTTGCTGCCCCCCAGCGGCCAGTCCGGGGAGGAGCGGGCAGGGCGCGCAGGGACCCCGCCCGGCCGGACCCCTTCTCTCCGGGCCGCGGGGCGGGCGGACACCGGGGTGCGGTGGGAGCGGGAGGGCTTCCCGGTCCGGGGGGCTGAGATCCGGGCCCTGGCACTGCGGGCGGGTGCGGGAGGGCGGTTCCCACGGCCGCCGCCGCCGGGAGGGTGCGCGCGGGGAGGGCGCGGGGGGCCCCCGCCGTCCAGCCCGCAGGGCGTGGGGCAGCGAGGGGGGCCGGGGACCCCGAGGCGCCCTGCCCCCGTCCCCCGGGCCCGCTTTTCCCTGTCTGATGGGGCGGGCGGGGCGCGGGGAGAGGGATCGGGGCTGCGGCCGGGCCGGCGGGCGCTCGGCTTCCGGGCCCGGGACCGGACGGCCTTGCGGGCCCGCGGGGGCTCAGCCCAAGACCGTCGAGCAGCGGTTGCTGCGCCCACCAGGCCCCGCCTTACCGGGAAGAGGAGCCCGCGCCCCGCACCTGGGGGGGCGCCTGCGGGGCGGGGGTGGCCCTGCGGGGCGGGGGGAGCGCCTGCGGGGCGGGGGGGGGGCCCTGCGGGGCGGGGGGGGGCGCCTGCGGGGCGGGGGGGGCCCTGCGGGGCGGGGGGGGGCCCTGCGGGGCGGGGGGGGCCCTGCGGGGCGGGGGTGGCGCCTGCGGGGCGGGGGTGGCGCCTGCGGTGCGGGGGTGGCCCTGCGGGGCGGGGGTGGCGCCTGCGGGGCGGGGGTGGCGCCTGCGGGGCGGGGGGGGGGCTGCGGGACGGGGGGCCCCTGCGGGGCGGGGGGGGGCCCTGCGGGGCGGGGGGGGCGCCTGCGGGGCGAGGGGGGCCCTGCGGGGCGGGGGAGGGGTCTGCGGGGCGAGCGGTGCCCGAGCTCCGGCTCTCCCCTCCCCGCGGGGCGCGGGCTGTCGCAGCGGAAGGCCTGTCTGCGGGGCGGTAACGGGACACCAGGAGCGCCCGGGCCTCCTCCCCTCACTCCGCCGCCGGCCGGGGCCGCAGGGGCCGCCCGCACTCAGCCGGAAAGGAAGCTTCCAGACGTCCGCCCGGCCTCGCTCATGCGCGGGAGGGGGGGGCGGGGTCCCCCGCTCCCAGTCTGGGGGTGCTGTGCTGCTAGGCCTGGGGGAGGGAGGTAGCCCAGGCCCGCGGTTACTTTTTGTTAATTTATTGATTTGAGGGGGGATGGGGATAAACAGATTTGTTGTTTCACTTATGGATGCACTCATTGGTAACTTTTTAAAAATATATATATTTTATTGATTTTTTACAGAGAGGAAGAGAGAGGGATAGTTAGAAACATCCATCAGCTGCCTCTTGTACATCCCTTACTGGTGATGTGCCCACAACCAAGGCACCTGCCCTTGACCAGAATCGAACCTGGGACCCTATAGTCCGCAGGCCGACGCTCTGCCCACTGAGCCACACAGGTCAGGGCTCATTGGTTACTTCTTGTGTGTGCCCTGACCAGGGCTCAAACCCCTGACCTTGGTGTATGGGGACCACGCTGAGCTCCCGGCCAGGACAGCCGTTGTTCCTTATGGTCCTTTTTCTACCCTCAGGTTCCCTCAGCACCACCCCCACATCCTCCAGATCCTCTGTCCCTCACCCCTTCCATGGACCCCAGTCCCCTCCCCCAACAAGCTCCTAGGCCCCTGAGCCTGGGTTCACCCCTCAAGGGAAGTAGCCTCTAATCTGGAAGCCATGGGGACCTGGTGGGAGCAAGACCCCTGGAGCAGGCTATGCACCCCAGTTTGGCTCCCCCCACTTCTGTGACCCCAGGACACTCCTCTGGGTCTGGCTGTAGCCTCTGACGGAAGTCCCCGGGGAGAGGCAGGCTGGCCGGCTCCCTGGGGCGATGGGAGGCGGTGGGAGGGAGGGAGGTGCCCCGTGCACCTCTCCTTCCGGGGGCAGGCGAGGCCACCCACAAAGGCTGACCGCCAGGTCCTTTGAGGCCACAAATGCCTGTCTGCCTGCTGCCCCACCGGGAGGTAACGCACCCTCCCGCTGGGACCAGGGCCACCAGCAGACAAAGCCACCCCTGTGGTGGCTCTCACAGCTGCCGGAGCTGGGCGCCCCACTCCCACAGCCCTGCCCAGACCCCCTGCGCCCGCCGGCCAGCCTCCCACCTGGCCACAGGCCCCCACCGCTCAGTGCTCCACACGGTGGCAGGAACACTCTTGGCCGAGGGTGGGGACCTGCGGGGGGTGGGGGGCACCCAGAGCCCTCAGCCTTGCCCCATGGGAGGGGCAAGGCGAACACCCTGGAGCCAGGAGGAGCTTGGGGCTCGCCCCTGGATGGGTGACACGCACCTCCGTGTTCCCCTGAAGTGGGGGTGCCATACTGTGGGCACTGGTCAGAGAGGGAGGCCTCAGGCCACACAGCCGGCTCACTGCGGGGGATCTGAGCTGCTCCCTTTCCCAACGATTTGTGGCAAGTGCGGGCCCATGGCCTCTCTGCTCAGAGCCTGGGCCTGGCTGCGGCTGCTGAGGGCTAAGCTGGCCACTTTGCCTGGCACTGGGAGGACCCAGGATGCCAGGCAGTGGCCCCGCGTGCGTCACGTGCCATGGCTTGTGGTCAACAGGAGCCCCACCCACCTTCCTGGCCTGTTTGTGGGGGACAGGCCCAGTCCCAGAGCCCCCCGGGGGCCTGACTGCCCTGGACAGGGGTGAATCCCATTAGGATCTCCGTCAGCTTCCCACACTCGTCCTCTGGGATCGTGGTCTCTGTAGGTGGACGGGCCAGGGGGTCATAGTCAATGCGACTGGTTCGGACGCCGCTAGGGCCTCAGCAGCTGGTCTTGTGCTGCTCTGGGCCTGGTGCCTGCGGTGCCGAGAGCCAGCTGCAGACCCTCCCCGGGGACCCACCGGGGTGACGTCCCAGGGCTGCTGGTCCCAACGGCCTACCCAGAGAGGAAGTTGCTGCAGGGAACGCAGTGTGCTGAGACTTCCTGCCTGGTGTGTGCAGCCCAGGCTGAGAGGAGGCGAGGCATTGCCCCAAGCAGCCTCCAGTGGGGGACAAAGGAGGGCAAGAAGGTTACTAAAAAAACCCAAAAAACAGCCTGGCTGGTGTGGCTCAGTGGTTGAGACATCCACCTACGAACCAGGAGGTTAGGGTTAGATTCTTGGTCAAGGCACAGGTGTAGGGGGCAAGCAGGTGCCAGCCGATCCATGATTCTCATCACTGATGATGTTCTCTCTCTCTCTCTTCCTTACTCTCTGACATCAATAAAAAAAAATATATATATATATATATATTTTTTATTTTTATTTAATATATTTAAAATAAATATATTTAAATAAAACAGCTCTAGCTGGTTTAGCTCAGTGGATAGAGAATCAGTCTGTGGACTGAAGGGTCCCAGGTTCGATTCTGGTCAAGGGCCCATGCCTGGGTTGCGGGCTCCATCCTCAGTGGGAATGCAGGAGGCAGCTGGCCCATGATGATTCTGTCATCACTGATGTTTCTCTCTCCTCCTCCTTCCTCTCTGAAATCAATAAAGATATTTAAAAGACAGCACAAACCGGAACCCAGAGGCCCAGGGCCCACCCCAGGAGAGCCCGGCAGGGCCCATGGAAGCGTGTGATCGTAAACATTCACTAGGAGACCAGCGTGCTGCTAAGGCGATGCTTAATGTCCTCCCACACACACATACACACACACACAGCAGCAGATAAAAGCAAAGGCTCCCGCTGGCAGGGCCGCCAAACCGTGGCTGTGTGGTGTGGGAAATGGCACCGGAACGTGACTGGTGATCGGGTCACACCTTGACTCAGCAGCCTCCGCTTTTATTTGAGTTCTGGTTTAAAAATTCAGAAGCAAGACTCACACTGTAGGGGAAAGTGTTTACGAAGCCGGAGGGCGGCGGAAACGGCTCTGGGCGGGAGGGAGGAGGTGGGGGGAGGGGAAAGGCGGCGGGCGAGGGGGAGACAGGGCAGCCCTGGGGGAAGGGACCTGCTGAAGGGCCGGGGTTCCAGGGGGCTGGTGGGTCCTGACAGGACATGCACCCGCTCCCAGGGTGTCCTCCATGGACCGGGCGGCCAGCGGCCATTAGTCAGCGCAGCTGGTTCCGGTTCTGCTGCTTTGCTGGGCCGGGAGCTGAAGCCCGTGTGCGGCCAGGACGCACTGGACCCCAGTCAGCACCTCGTGGTCCTGGGGGACATTCTCGCTCGTTCCCCGGTAGCGGGGGTTCCCCCGCAGGACCAGCAGGAGCCAGGGGCGGGGAGGGCGGGGAAGGGCCGGCACAGTGCTGGAGGCGGCGAGGCCCCCGGGGCAGGCCCTTGTTTTCCCAGCCGCGCCCGTTGCCAGGCGCCGCGCTCTCTGCCGGGTGCCCAGCGCCCCGGGCCGGAGCCCGCACCCCGCCAGCGCCCAGGGAGGTCTGGGCGCCGCCCTAGTCTCCACGCAGCGCGCGGCGCGGGGCCCGGGCACCAAGGCGACGGGAGCCGGGCCAGCGCCGTCTCCACAACAAGCGCCGGGCGGCGGGCTGCGGGCGGACCCGCCCTGCCCCCGCCCTGCCCCCGCCCCCGCCCCCGCCCGGCGGGGCCCACGTGCTCCCTCACCTGACCGCCCCCCGCGCGGGCAAAGGGCCCAGGAAGGGGCACCGCCCGAGCCCTGGCGCCGCCGCCCGGCCCCCGAGCCCCGTGCGTCCGGTCCGTGGACGGCTCCGGGCCCGCAGGGCAAGCCTCGCACGTCCTCGTTACACCGCGGCCCCCGAGGCGCCCGCCCACCGGAGCTTCCGGGCCGCCGCCCGGTCGGTACTTCCCCAGACTCCCGCCCCCTGGCCCCGCCGGCCCGGAGCCCGCGCGCGCGCCCGCCCGCGGCACTGCGGCGGTTACCAGGACGCTGGCCCGCGCGGCCAATAGCGTCGGCCCGGCGGCGTGCTCTCCGGAGCCAGCCAATGAGGGGACAAATCAATCATTTGAAACACCCAATGGGCTGAGCGCCGCAGCGCGATGGGGGGTCCCTCTAGAGCGAGAGCAGGGGCCTCGCCTGGCCAATAGATAGCGGCGGAGTGGAGGAGGCGGGCGTTAGGCGGCTCGATTGACGGGACTGCAGTCAATCAAACGGGGCCGCCGGCCAGCCTCGTTCTGGCGGCCCAATAGGAAGCTTGGGGAGGCGGGCGCTCTGGGTATATAAACGGCGGCGGAGCGTCGGTTGTAGCATTCTGCGCTTCCGCTGCTCGGCTCCTGGTTCTGTTTTTCCACCCGCGCCGCCGCCACCATGAGGGAGATCGTGCACCTGCAGGCCGGCCAGTGCGGCAACCAGATTGGCGCTAAGGTGAGGGCCGGGTGCCGGCGGCCTATCGCGGGCGGACCTCCGGGGCGGGCCGGGCGGACAGGAAAGATGGCGGCGGGCGGGCGGCGCCCCCGCATTGCGGATCCTGCGGGGCCGGAGCTCGGGCGGGGGCGCCGGCGCGGCCCCCCGGGGACCAGCTGGGCTGCGGGGAGTGTGAGGCCCGAGGGGGAGGGGAGGCGAGGGAAGGAGAGGGAGGCAAAGGCCGCGCCCGTCCGGGGCGGGGCCGGGCCGGTCCCGGGCCGCGCCGCCGTGACTCAGCCCGGCGCGCCCGCGTTCGCAGTTCTGGGAAGTGATAAGCGATGAGCATGGCATCGACCCTACGGGCACGTACCACGGGGACAGCGACCTGCAGCTGGAGCGGATCAATGTCTACTACAACGAAGCCACCGGTGAGACCCGCGCCCCTGCCCGCCCCCTCCGGCGCCCCCGCGGTCCCCGCGGCCAGGCCCTCACCCACGCCCTCCCACCCCCTAGGTGGCAAGTACGTGCCCCGCGCGGTGCTCGTGGACCTGGAGCCCGGCACCATGGACTCGGTGCGCTCGGGGCCCTTCGGGCAGATCTTCCGGCCGGACAACTTCGTCTTTGGTGAGCCGCCCGTGTGGTCAGGGGGGCCGAAAGGTCAGGGGGCGCCCAAGGTCACCACCCTCGGGACCGCAGAGAGCGAGGTCCGACCCTCGCTGCACCCCGCGCAGGAGCTGGGGCCCCGGCTGGACACCCCCGCCCCTGCGCGTCACCCAATCCCTCGCCCAAAGCCGCTTTGGGAGGAAGGCCCAGCTGTCCGGGCGGGGCGAGCGCGATGTAATCTCCCCGCCGAGAGCGCAGTGGCGGCTCATCTGTCCTTGGGAATTGGCAGGGCCGAGTGGGAGGGGCCGGTTATTGTTCAGTCATCTCAGCGCAGCTCCCAAGTTAATTTTTAACGAGGCAGGTTGCTGCCTGGTGCGGGGTCCACCTGCCTTACCTGCAGGGTGAGGCCTGTGTCACCTCACGCCATGTGGTTGGCCTTTCTGGCCCAGGATGACCAGTGACAGGTGCCCGGCCACCGAGTGACCTGCTGCTGCCCTCTCTTGCAGGTCAGAGTGGCGCCGGGAACAACTGGGCCAAGGGGCACTACACGGAGGGCGCCGAGCTGGTCGACTCGGTGCTGGATGTGGTGCGGAAGGAGGCGGAGAGCTGCGACTGCCTGCAGGGCTTCCAGCTGACCCACTCGCTGGGCGGGGGCACCGGGTCTGGGATGGGCACCCTCCTCATCAGCAAGATCCGGGAGGAGTACCCGGACCGCATCATGAACACCTTCAGCGTGGTGCCCTCGCCCAAGGTGTCGGACACGGTGGTGGAGCCCTACAACGCCACCCTCTCGGTCCACCAGCTGGTGGAGAACACAGATGAAACCTACTGCATTGACAACGAGGCCCTCTACGACATCTGCTTCCGCACCCTCAAGCTGACCACGCCCACCTACGGGGACCTCAACCACCTGGTGTCGGCCACCATGAGCGGGGTCACCACCTGCCTCCGCTTCCCTGGCCAGCTCAACGCCGACCTGCGCAAGCTGGCCGTCAACATGGTGCCCTTCCCGCGCCTGCACTTCTTCATGCCCGGCTTCGCCCCCCTCACCAGCCGGGGCAGCCAGCAGTACCGCGCCCTGACGGTGCCCGAGCTCACCCAGCAGATGTTCGACGCCAAGAACATGATGGCCGCCTGCGACCCGCGCCATGGCCGCTACCTGACCGTGGCCGCCGTGTTCCGGGGCCGCATGTCCATGAAGGAGGTGGACGAGCAGATGCTCAACGTGCAGAACAAGAACAGCAGCTACTTCGTGGAGTGGATCCCCAACAACGTGAAGACGGCCGTGTGCGACATCCCGCCCCGGGGCCTCAAGATGTCCGCCACCTTCATTGGCAACAGCACGGCCATCCAGGAGCTGTTCAAGCGCATCTCGGAGCAGTTCACCGCCATGTTCCGGCGCAAGGCCTTCCTGCACTGGTACACGGGCGAGGGCATGGACGAGATGGAGTTCACCGAGGCGGAGAGCAACATGAACGACCTGGTGTCTGAGTACCAGCAGTACCAGGACGCCACGGCCGAGGAGGAGGGCGAGTTTGAGGAGGAGGCGGAGGAGGAGGTGGCCTAAGCTGCTGCCGCCGGAAGCGTGGAAGCGTGAGAACTCTTTATTCACTCTGTCTGTCCTCCTGACCCTGTCTCACTGTCGCACTGCTCTTCCTTCCTGACATCTGAGTTGTACAGACACCATTAAAGCATTTCATAGTGCCCGGCGCTTCCGCTCCTGTTCCTTCCGGTAGGCCATGCGCGTGCTGTTGCCGAAGGTCATCCCGTAGTGGTCCTGCATGTCTGCGGGGGAGGGCCACACTGAGCCTCGGGCGGGGCGGGTCCCCTGGCAGAGGCAGCTGTCTGGCTGTACAGGCCTCGCCGGGAAGAGGTGCTGGGCCATCCTGCCTGGGGAACCCCAGGGACATGTCCCGCCCTGGGCCTGTGCAGCAGCAGGGGGGGGCCCCAACCACCTGCCCCGCCCCTGTGGTCCCCGCACTCACACGGGATGAACCCCATGTAGAAGGGGATCAGGCCCTGGCTGTTGGAGATGGTGTTGCTGGGCCAGTACGTCCGGGGCAGCCTCCTGCCCAGGGCACAGATGGGGTTTCTAGACAGGAACTGGGGAGAGGGAGGTGTGACTGGCGGGCTGCCCCCACCAGGTATTTAGCTGTAAGTGCCCAGCTGGGAAGGCTGACGTTTGAATGGCGAAGGTACTGTCACCCCCTCCACGGGGGGGCTGCTGTGACCACGCTGGGCTCCACACCCTGGCTATGCCCCCCAGTCCCAGGGGGTGGCCAGGGCAGCTGTCCGCATACCTGGCTTTTGTCAAACTCGTCCATGGCCTGCGTGACCCCTTTGCGAAAGTTCATGCCCATCACCCAGGCGTACCGGGGGATGAAGCCGGCGTAGCCTGGGAGGGAGAGGTCTGGTCCACCTCCGATCCCCTTCACCGCCCACTGCCCTAGCGCCAGGGACGCCCGCCCGGCTCCTTCCATAACCAGGCCCCTCCATGACGGGCCAGAAGGGCATGGGCCTCGGCCTCGCAGGAGCCGGGCAGCCGTGCTCTCACCCTCTGGGGGCGCCCACCTGAGATGGCTTTGCGCTGGATCAGGTTGGGGTGGTCCAGTTGGGGCAGCCTCTGGAACCTGCCCACGTCCAGGGTCGTCTCCTGGTGGCCCGGGCTGGGGTACTCGTCCCTCCTGCAGTGGTACAGCTGGGGCGGCAGGGGCAGGTCACCACCCCCACCCCCACCCGGGTCTGCGGGGTGCAGCGGGTCCCACTGTCTCCCAGTTACCTGGTACTGCCCAGGGGCCTCGCGCAGGGGGGTGGTCCTCCAGGCCTCCTCCCCGTACGCCAGCCGCATGCCCGGGTGCCCGAGGCCCCTGGAGACCGTCTTCCTGCCCGGTGGGCACGGGGCGTAGGGTGGATAGGGCATGAAGCCCGGAGGCAGGGGGGCCTCCCAGCACGCGCGCTCTGCCCCCGGGGGTCCTTCCGCCGCCGCCTCTGCCGCCGCCTCCGCCTCTGCCTCTGGCGGGGAGAACTTGCCCAGGATCTCGAAGTTCTTGAAGGGCTTCAGACCTGTGTGGACGGCAGCGTGAGCGGCTGGCAGGGGGCGCGGAGGGGCGGGGCGCAGAGGGGAGGGCGGGCGGCGGGGCCTCGCTCACCTGTGTAGTGGGGGATGTAGGGCTCGGCCAGGTCCCGGCAGGGGGTCGGGGGCGGCTTGGAGGTGCTGAAGTCCTCGATGAACTTGGGCTTGGAGATGGGGGACAGCACGGAGCATGGGCTCTTCTGCACACTGGGGTCCGTGAGCAGCTGCGCCGTGGTCCGCCCGTAGGTGTTGCCCACCTGGTAGCGCAGCTGCGGGTAGAAGCCGGCATAGCTGGGGGTGGGGAGAGGAGGAAGGAGGAGGCGGGCCAGTGGGCGAGGGCAGGAGCCAGCCCGCTAGGCCCAGGCCAGGCCCCGGACCTGGGCCTCAGGATGAGGGCACGGCAGCACGTGCCAAGCGCCAACCCTGCCGTGTCCCCACCACGTCGGCCAGCAGCAAGGGGCTTACAGGTGGCAGAGGCGGTGGGACGGAATGCCTGGGAGCTTTTACAGGGATACGGGGTCCTGCCCAGGCTCCGGGAGGCCTGCACTGCTCAGCAAGGCGGGGGTCTGGCTCAGACCTTTGCCACCCAGAGGCCAGGAGCCAGGGAACAGGACCAGGATGTGGGAGGCAGGCAGGAGGGCTGCTGGAGGAAGTGAGGGCTGAGCTGAGTGACAGCCACGTGGGAGGTGCTGTGGGCATATCTGGTGGGGGCACCTGTGGGGTAGCGGGGGCCCTCCCTCCTCAGGCTCTCCTGCCCCACCTTTGCCCCTGGAACTCCTGGGACGTCAGGCCTGGTTCCTGGCCCGCCTGTTTCCTCACTCACAGGCACAGATGTGTGGGTGCCCGCGTTCCATAGAGGGCGTGGTCGGAGCTTACGGGGAGGGGTTGGGGAGGGGCTGCCCAGTGAGGCAGCCTGGCGTCTGCAGGTCAGTTTACTAGAGTGTGGAGCACTGTGGTGTGGGACTCGGGCGTTTTCCCACCACCAGCAGGGAGGGAGGCCGGGCCCTGCCCTGCCCTGCCCTGCAGACCAGCTCTGGGGCTCCCTCTCCACTGGCCTGAGCAGCCCCCACCCCTGTGCAGCCCCCGCGCTTACCCCGGGACATAGTGGGGTTCCGGCGTGAAGAGGTAGTGTTTCTGGGTAGCTGTCATCTTGCCTCAACTCCACCTTTGCTCTGTGGTCCCTCCTCTGGTCTGGCTCCTTCCCTGGGAGGCGTCTCTGTTGCTTGACAACCATTGTGAGGAAGCCCAATGGGTGGGCACCCCCTGGCCAGGCCTGTCCTCACCCTGCGAGTGCCCATTTCACAGGGGGGCACCCAGGCCCACAGCAGCCGGTGGGCGGTGTGACGCCCGGACCTCAGGGCCCAGGAGTGGTGCCTGTCGCCGCAGCCAGGTCCCAAGCTGGCCCTGCCGGAGCCTGGGGCCAGGGTTACCCTGAGGAGGCCAGTGGCCCCGTGTGAGGCTAAGAGAACCCTTGTGCACCCCAAGTCTTCTTCTCAGACCAGAGGCCGGGAGCTCCAGGGGCACGGGGACAAGCCCCCTGCAGCAAGGGGACGTCTTCCCTGGAGCTGGCGCTATTTTCCATTTTAAACAAATCCAGACTTTTTCCTTTTTTGTAAGGAAGGACTTTCTAACCATACAAACACAATGTCATAACAGGAAAGATTAGCAGGTTCAAGTACATGTCAAAAAGCGGCCTAAGCAGTGCTAAGAGGCGGCTACACACGGGGGAATGTGTAACAAGTGTTACGAACAGATAGGATATCAGTACGAAAAGCCCTTACAGGACAGGACTGGAAGCACCGCGCAGCAGAGGAATGCACCCAGAAGGTGAACATGGGGGGGGGAGGCAGTCCATAACCCTCTGGACAGGAGGGTGAGGGGACCCAGATCAGCGCTGACAACGGCAGTTCCCTTGCTGTGGGTGACGGCGGGAACGGCGCTCCTGGGGGGGGGGGGGGGCTGCCGTCTGGAAAGCAGTTTGGGAACAGGGATCGCCCCACAGGCTGTTACACTCCAAGGCCCATGGCCTGCCCTCCGAGGAGCCACTCCTGCGGAATGAGAGGCGTTTAGCCGGAGACACAGGCACAGCGTCACCCACCCGCAGTGTCTGTCGGAGAGACATCGGAGCCAGCCCGGTGTCCACCAGCCGGGCTCTGCTCAGCACCTGTGGCCTCTGCCAGCTCTGCCCTCAGAGAACTGTGTACCCCGCAGGCCCGAGCCCAGGCCCAGCCCAGCCCTCACCCCGCCTGGATAAATGCCCTTCCCTCAGCCTCTCCACCCGGATGCCTCCCACGGCCAGGCCGGCCCCGGGAGGAGACGGGCTTGGCCAGGGACTCCCGGGGGTGAGGCCAAGGCCGGGGCTGGGCTGGCACGCGGGTCAACGTGGAGGGCCGTGGTGCCAGGTGGGCTCACACTCAGTGGGGGTGGGTGTCATTCATTTGCACTTTGGCCTGGGCGACCCATCATCTGGAACACTTTCTGGCCTCTGTGCCCCCAGGCAGGATGCAGGCTCCCACCCTCTCCCCTGCAGGGGCCCCGGTGACCTCCAGGGCCAGCACAGTCCCCTCAGGCCATGGGCCTGGCCTGGCCTTCCTGAGGACTGGCTTCTAGTGGGGCTGGGAGCTCCCTGGACCTCCCAGCCCGCCCTCGTGCCTCCCTCCAGCCGGCCGGGCACAGCTGGGCACTGCACAGCACCCACGCCCTTTCTGCCCACGGCCCATGCCAGTCCGCCCAGAACCCCTGCTGGAGTGGACCCCCGAAATCCAGAGAAGAGAAGGGTGGGGACAAGGAAGGGAGTATGAGGGGGGAGGGGTCTAAGCCAGGCAGGCCAGGGTAGCCCAGGATGACCCACCTGGCAGGTCAGTGGAGGGATCCTATGGCCACAGCCCCTCCAGGGCTGGACCTGGAATTCCCCGCAGCAGGGGGGGGGGGGGGGGGCGGCATGACGGGCCGTTGAGGTCACAGAGCCTGGTGGTGTCCACAAGAGAGGCAGCCAGGGACACTGACAAATGAATTTCGACCAGAAGGCCGTGAAATTCCTGGCAAACTTTTACATCGATGGCGGCAAACACTGGACCCATAGCCCCCTGCGACAGGAGACCTTAATGCCGCTGCGGTAACTCCGAGGGCGGGGGAGGCTGGGGCGGGGCGGCGGGGCCGCTGCACTGCAGGGACGGGGCGGACGGAGCTGCCCCTTGTTGCAGGCCCAAGGCTGTGTGGTGGGGCCCCTGCCCCTGGGCCTGCGTGAAGGCGCGGCCCCCGGCGGTGCAGGAGTTCCCGGAGGGCCTCCGGGTGAACCTGGGCAGCCTCCCGGAGTCCTGGCGGGTCTGCCCCGGGGACTGGGACCGGAAGCAGCTGTGTGAGTGCCGGCGGGCGGGGGGCGGGGGGCGGTCTGGCCTGGGGCGCGGGGCGGGAGGGGCCTGCTGGGCTGCCCGGGCCCAGAGCTTGCTTCCTGCCAGGGCTGGAGCAGCGTGCCCCCATCGCGATCGCCCCGGACTACCCCGGCCCCGCCACGTACCGGGTGCCCGATGCTTCGGTGCGCGAATCCTCCCCGCACCCCCACTTCAGCATCGGCCGCAAGCGCCCCATCCCCGGTGCGTGCCCCTCCCTGCGCGCTCCCACCCCCGCGCGGGTCCTGGACGTGGGCCGCCCCCAGCCTGCCTCCCCAGTGACCCTGCCGCCCGCACCCCGCAGAGGCCGCTGGCCGCGGGGCCTGGCAGACGGTGTGGATCCAGAGCGAGAGGCCCTTCAGTGAGAAGGTGGGGCGCGGGCCCAGGAGGTTCTGGGGGCGGGGCCTGTGAGGCCGGAGTGGGAGGGGCCTTGGGGAAAGGGCGGGACAGGAGGGGCCTTGGGGCGGGGCCTGTGAGGCCGGAGTGGGAGGGGCCTTGGGGAAAGGGCGAGACAGGAGGGGCCTGTGGGGCGGGGCCTGTGAGGCCGGAGTGGGAGGGGCCTTGGGGAAAGGGCGGGACAGGAGGGGCCTGTGGGGCGGGGCCTGTGAGGCCGGAGTGGGAGGGGCCTTGGGGAAAGGGCGGGACAGGAGGGGCCTGTGGGGCGGGGCCTGTGAGACTGGAGTGGGAGGGGCTTGTAGAAGGGGCCTGGGGCGGTGGGCGGGGCTTCAGCCGCCTCCTCGCCCCCAGTTGCCCCCGCTGGCCAACCACGAGCAGCTGAGCGGCCACGCCTTCCCAGCCGTCAGCTTCGTGGGCCGCCGGCCCATCCCGAAGGTCGCCCAGTCGCGCACGCCCCTGAGGCTGCTGCGGGCCCGGGGTGCGGGTCGCAGTGCCCGGCCCCCGTGGCAGGACCCTCTGCGGCCCCCGGGCGAGAGGCGCCCCAGCCCCACCGCCTACGACATCGCTCCCGGGCGCCGCCTGCAGAGCCTGCGCCCGCCCGCCTTCTCCATGAGCCGCTCGCCCGCCTTGGCCTCCTGGGTGCACGCCTGTAAGGAGGCCTGGGCGCGGGGCGGCCGGGCTGCGCGGGGCCGGGCTGCGGGGAGGCCGGGGCCGTGGCGGGCGCAGCCGCATGGGCTCCCGCCTTCTCCCTCCGCAGCCCGCAGCCCGGGCCCCGCCGCCTACCACGTGGAGGACTGCTACAACTCGCGCTTCCCCGCGGCGCCCGGAGTGCTCATCCAGGGCGTGCGGAGGCCTAAGCGCCACGAAACGGGCCCCTTCTGCTCGCTGTAGCCCCCAGCACACAGCGGCCGGCCATCGCCCCAGGGACCCGCCACCCAGCCTGGGCGCCTAACCCTCTGGGCACCCTGACCCCCTTCCTGGCCGGCCAGCCCGCTGTGCGCTGTGGACAGGAGCCAAAGCCCACCTGCCCAGCAGGCGACACAGAAACACTGTTGGTTCCTTTGGACGTGGTGGTGCCTGGCTACCTGAGGGGTCTCCCTGGCCGCCTCTCCCGCTCCCCCTGCTCTCCTCCAGGGCGGTGGGTGGCAGCTTGAGGCTTACGGGCGGAGACAGTAGGGAGGGTCCCTCTGGGGAGTGCAGGACACCCCCATTCAGGGGGCCAGCAGGCTACCCGGTTACCCAAGAGCCAGGCTGCTTGCTGAACTGAGAAACTGCCAGAGCTGGGGCCCGACTCCTTGGACGGCCGCCTGGGCGGAGGCCAGCTGCACAGCCACGAGGAGGGCCCAGAGGACCACCACGCAGGGCCTGGCCCCACTGCCCAGCCCACAGCCCCGGCAAGCCCGCCCAGGGCCACGCAGGCCAAGCCACAGCCCCCGGACTCCCCGGTGCGGGCCTATCCTGATGCAGTAGCTTGGCCATTGGGTTCCCGGCCTGCCCTCCTCCCGAGGGTGGCCCCATGGCGGGCGGCAGCACCCCTATGGGTCCATAAACACTTCTGCAGGGCGGCCAGGGCCCTGGAGCCCTAGCACACTCACCGGTGAACCAGCTGGGGATCAAGTCCCACCCCCCTAGCAAATCAGTGGGCCTGCAGTTGTGGTTGGTTTTTAAGTACATTTTATTGATTTATTTTACAGAGAGGAAGGGAGAGGGATAGAGAGTTAGAAACATTGATGAGAGAGAAGCATCTGTCAGCTGCCTCCTACACACACACACACACACACACAACTGGGGATATGCCCACGACCAAGGTACATGCCCTTGACCAGAATCGAACCTGGGACCCTTCAGTCCACAGGCCAACTCTATCCACTGAGCCACACCAGTTAGGGTTGCAGTTGGTTGTTGTTGGGCTTGGCCAAGGGCCACAGAGAGCTGTGGGAGCCCTGGCCTGGGGGGCTTGGCCCAGGGTGGGGGTACGGGAGCCCCACCCATAGCTGCCCCACCAGCAAACCCAACCGGGGGCTCAAAGCCAGAAGTGGGACGCAGGAAGGATGGGTCCCAGGCCGCGGGCTGGGCTGCGGGGAGGAGGCGGGGAGTGGGTGCACCAGGACGGGCGAGGGTGTGCTGGGTGGCAGGGAGGGGTGTCCACAGAGTGAAGCTTGGGGGCTCCTGAAGGGCACGGGGTGGTGGCCTTGGGTGGGGACTGGGGACGGGGCTGGGGCTGGCGGTTCACCAGGAGGGTGGAGCGGCCGCAGGTGCTGGGTCAGGGCCCGGCCTACTTAGCTGCCGGGAACCCAGCGAGAGGGCAGAGCAGGCAGCACCCACCGGCGCTGGGAGCTTCTGGCATCGCAGGACTCAGCCTCGGCCTTGCCGGCCTGAGAGCCCTCCACCTTGGGGCCCATGCCCGTCGTGGTGAGGGACAGCCCTCCGTGCCCACTCCCACTGCCAACCCAGGCCTGTGGCACCCCCACTGGGAGCGCGGGCTTCTGCTTCCTCAAGCAACAGGGTTCTGTCGGCCACAAGCGGGATCGGCGGGCTGTCCCGTCACCAAGTGGGTTTGTCCAGAACGGTTAAGGGCAGGCTGGGGTGAGTGTGGGGAGCAGGGGGAGGCGATGACCCGGTCCAGGGGAGTGAAGTCAGGGTGTGCCCTGTGGGTGCCAGGCAGGGTGGTTTCTCTGAGCAGATGAAGGGGCGGCGGGAAGAGCCCCATCACCCGGAATCGGGGAGAAGGAGGCTGACTGGGGGGCTGAGGGTGCCTGACGCGCTCATGTTTGTGAGTCCCTTTTCCAGTGTCTGGGCTCTTTGCAATCATAGTGGAAACCAGGTGTGTTCTGTTTTTGTAATATATTTTTATTGAGGAAGAGAGAGGGAGAGTTAGAAACATCAGTGATGAGAATCATTGATTGGCTGCCTCCTGCACGCCCCCCAGTTAGGATCGAGCCGGCAAACCTGGACATGTGCCCTTGATCAGAATCGAACCCTGGCCCCTTCAGTCCACAGGCCAACACTCTATCCACTGAGCCACACCGATTAGGGCAGTAACTTCATTTTTAAAAATCTTTATTGTTGAACGTATGACGTAGGTCCCCTCTGTTGACCTCCCCCCCACCCCCCGCCCCTTGCTTCAAGCCTTCACCACCCTGTCTGTTCCCATGCCCCGTCCCCCAAAAACTTCAACAGCCCCTGTTCATGCAGAAACTTTATTTTGTAAAGAGGCAACTTAAGATTCTAAGTAACGTTTGTAAGCCTCAAAATACCACTGGAAACAGGCATTCCGTTCACCTTTGCCAGTTCCAGCTGTTACTTTTAAGAAAGTAAGTCTGGCTCCGGCGGATGTGGAGCATTGTCCTGCTGCCAAAAAGGTGACAGGTTCGATTCACAGCAGGGAACACACCCGGGCTGTGGGTTCAATCCCCAGATGGGGAAGCAGCCAATTGATGTCACTCTCTCTCCTCACCCCCCTTCCTCTCTGTAGAATCAATTAAGAGGGGAAAAAAGTTTGGAAACCTCCAAGGTTCCCCACAGCAGCCACTGATCTTCGGAATTACTTTTGGTCAGATCTGTCCAGTTAGTGAAACATGCCCATGAAGCGTGACTTCATCTTTCAAACCTGAGTTCCTGGAGGAGGGGCGGCCTTAAAATATTTAAATTACTGAGCCCTGACCGGTTTGGCTCAGTGTTAGAGCGTCGGCCTGCGGATGGAAAGGTCCTGGGTTCAATCCTGGTCAAGGGCATGTACCTTGGTTGCGGGCACATCTCTGGTGGGAGAAGTGCAGGAGGCAGCTGATCAATGTTTCTAACTCTCTCTCCCTCTCCTTTCCTCTTTGTAAAAACTCAGTAAAATATATTTAAAAATACTTAAATAACTGAGACTCCATTTTTCAGACTTCTCTAGAGCAAGGGCCACAGGCAATCTCTCCAGCAGCGGCCGCCTGGTCACAGGAGGGCGGGGCAACCGCTGGACGCTTTCAACAAGACTGTCCAGTCCGGGCCGGAACCAAGGCTGGCGGGTTACATCCCGTATTCCAAAAAGCATGGGCCAATGGCGAGCCGGTCTCAAAACAGCCTGATCCCCAAGGAAACAGGAAGACTCAGCGAATCCAGCAATCAGAGGCAGACGGACAAGCACGGGCTTTAACAAGAAACCGCTGGACGCCTAGCCGGTTGGGCTCAGTGGATAGAGCGGCGGCCTACGGACTGAAGGGTCCCGGGTTCGATTCCGGTCAAGGACACAGGCCTGGGGTGTGGGCTCCATTCCCAGTCCAGGGCGTGCGGGGGCAGCCAATCCATGATTCTCATCATTAATGTTTCTATCTCTCTTCCTTCCTCTCTGAAATCAATAAAAATACATTTTTAAAAAAAAGAAAAACCGCCGGACGGTTCCGGGGAGAAGCCTGGGAATACAGCGCGGAGCGGGACCCCAGAGGGTCCAGCAGGCAGCCTGCAGAGCCCACACGGAATTTCACGAACCGGAAGCGGAAGTTGGGGAAGGGCTGGTGCGACACTCGGAGCTGACGTCACCCTAGGGCTCCTCCCACAGGCCCTCCCGGTTCGTTCCAGGTCGCTGCCCCTAATCGGGTCATTTCTCCGCGTCACCCGCTGGCTGTGAGGTCGGCCTCAGGGTTTTATAATAAAGTCTGTTCAGCCAAAGTGTCAGTTCTGCCTGGAAACGGCCCCCTCCGTGCCGCTCCCGCCCGGTGCCCGCACACCGCGCCCCCGGGCCCAGACGGAGGACGAGGCCAGAGGGCGGGCGGCCACCCCGTCGGGCGGCCCTGCGGCGGGCGGGGAGGCGGCGCCCAGGACCGGCGGAGGCGCGGCCTAGCTGCGGTCGCGCGCAGCCGCTCGGCCGGGCCGGCTCCTCTCTAGGAACCTCCGCGCGGCGCCAGCGTTTCCGGCCGGACCGCTTAGCCCGGGACCCGCGGGGCGGGGCGGGAGTGGGCGGTTTTGGTCCCGCGGCGCCGCGCTCCGGGCGGGACCTGGCCGAGCTGGAGGGCGCCGGGGAGAGGGGCTCAGGCGGCCCCCGCGGCCCGAGCGAGCGGGCGGCCGGGGGGCCTGCGGCGGCCGCGGCGGCGCCGGCGGAGCGCGGTGGGGATGGGGCGCCGAGCCGGCCTGGGACCGGGGCCTCGGCCCTGTTCGCGGGGCTGCAGGACCTGGGCGTGGCCAACGGCGAGGACCTGAAGGAGACGCTCACCAACTGCACGGAGCCGCTCAAGGCGATCGAGCAGTTCCAGGTGCGTGGGCGCGGGGCGGGGAGGCCGGGCGGTGGGCGGGGAGGCCGGGCCGTGGGCAGGGAGGCCGGGCCGTGGGCGCGGGGCGGGGCGGGGAGGCCGGGCCGTGGGGGCGGGGCGGGGCGGGGAGGCCCGGCCGTGGGCGCGGGGCGGGGCGGGGAGGCCGGGCCGTGGGCGCGGGGCGGGGCGGGGAGGCCCGGCCGTGGGCGCGGGGCGGGGCGGGGAGGCCGGGCCGTGGGCGTGGGGCGGGGCGGGGAGGCCCGGCCGTGGGCGGGGAGGCCGGGCCGTGGGCGCGGGGGCCGGGCCGTGGGCGGGGAGGCCCGGCCGTGGGGGCGGGGCCGCGTGGGAAGTGGGCGGTTTTTCTCGCTTTGACCTGTTCCCGGGTTGGAGGACCGGGTGTCCGGAGCTCGTGCCCGCGGCCGGACTCCCCTTCAGCCCCCGCCTCTGCTCTGCGCCCCTGCGGGGCCGGGCCGGACGCGGCTACCCCCGAGCAAGCAGCATCGATCCCCTGACCCTCCGCTTCCCCAGACAGAGAATGGCGTGCTGCTGCCCTCCCTGCAGTCGGCCCTGCCCTTTTTGGACCTGCACGGGACGCCGCGGCTGGAGTTCCACCAGTCCGTGTTCGACGAGCTGCGGGAAAAGCTGCTGGAGCGCGTGTCGGCCATCGCCTCGGAGGGGAAGGCTGAGGAGAGGTAGGCGGCCGGTGGCAGGCAGCCGCTCTCAGCCCGGGGCCTGGCCCCGCAGACCTCCTGCCCCCTTGGGGACGCCGGCCCCCTCGGCCGGCTTGGTCCCGAGCCGCCCCTCAGCCACCGCCGTCTTCCAGGTACAAGAAGCTGGAGGACCTGCTGGAGAAGAGCTTTTCCTTGGTGAAGATGCCGTCGCTGCAGCCGGTGGTGATGTGCGTCATGAAACACCTGCCCAAGGTGAGCCGCAGGTCAGCACACAGCTGGGCCCAGGAGGGTCCCGGGCCACTGCCCCCGAGGGTGTGTGACCGGGAGTGTGTCCTCTGGGCTGGCCTCTCCCTATGAGCCCCCAGCGAGGCCCCGGGAGGGTCCCCGGCCGGCTGCCCCCGAGGCTGGGTGACCGGGAGTGTGTCCTCTGGGCTGGCCTCTCCCTATGAGCCCCCAGCGAGGCCCCGGGAGGGTCCCCGGCCGGTTGCCCCCGAGGCTGGGTGACCGGGAGTGTGTCCTCTGGGCCCCGGAGACCGGAGCCCCCTTCTGGAAAAGAGCTGTGCGCTCAGCATGGCTGCTGCACCTGCGGAGCTGAGCCGGTGCAGCCACGGGTGCTGTCAGTGGGGGCTGGGTTCGAGGTGTCTGCCGGGAGTGGTGCTGAGGCCTCCTGAGGGAGGTGACGCAGCAGTTCACGCACTCTTTATTTTTTTTACTGTCTTATCTAATAAACACAGAGTATACACGTTGACTGTCACTTTGCAACAAAAATGGCGGCACCCACAGCCAGTCAGG